AGGCTCGAGGACCATATCGATAGCACTTTTTAGCAATAGCATCTGCCAATCTTTTTGGACAAGGAAGCCACCACAATGTTGTAACTATTCTTCCGGAGTTTTATGCGAGAGCAAGGAGAATTGTACTTTGGATAATTTTTCCTCACACGGGAAGGAGAGATCGACAACCGCATCTCCAAGGCTTCTGCAGTTCTGCGGGAACTTTGGCGAACCGTGGTTACCAGATCGGAAGTTTCTCGGGAAGCAAAACTCTCGGTTTTTAAGAGTGTTTATCTTCCCACCCTCACCTATGGTCATGAACTTTGGGTAATGACCGAAAGTACCAGATCGCGAATACAAGCTGCTAAAATGAGGTTCTTGCATAGAGTGGCTGGCGTAACGCGCCGCGATCGGATGCGGAACTCTGCCATCCGCGAGATTTTCCACATCGAGCTGCTGCTTGTCCGGATCGAGAGGTCTCAGGCCAGGTGGTTCCGTCACGTCTGCCGCATGCCCCCTGAAAGGCTCCAAAGAGGAGTCTTCCAGGCCAAGATGACCGGCAAAAAACCCGTCGGTAGACCTCGTACAAGGTGGAGTGATTACGTCGCTCGGCTTTGTCACAAGAGGCTCGGCATCCCACCAGTTCAGCTGCCTAGGATAGAGATAACTGGAGGACGCTCCTTGGAATGCTCGAACCGCGACCCCATTAAATTGGGAAAAGCGGGCAAGTAAATGTATGTATGTATGTGTATGTAAAATAAAGATGCAGACGAGATGAGCGGAAATACATTGATTTAATTGCATTCCACATGGCCAAGAATACCCTAGGAACCAATTCCTAAATTGATATTAGATATGGCCTTCGCGGACCAGCAGTAACCTTGGATCAGTGTCCCAAAGGCTCTCAATCAACAGACGGATGACACTTGTTGCGTTGGTTTTTCACTCCACTGAAAACTCTGGTAATGGATGGCGCCTGATTTATGGAGTCTTGCTCAAGAACACTCTGCTGGAACCTGTGACATAGGCGTTCCAGATTCAAGATTCAAGATAGTGATATCAAGAAGTGATTTCACCCATTTCGATATCACGTGTCGAGGGAAACCGTTTCTTAATTTTAGGCTAGGCCTAACCCTCTTAAAGCTAAATATTTGTGTATTTTTGTTTGCTTGTTTTTTGTTTACTATCCTTGTTGCTTACTGTCTAGTACCTAACGTTAACATTGCTCCCCACCTTTTTGCCTGTCCATGAAAGCATCCAGTTTTGGAGGCCTACAAATAAGGGCAATTTGTTGGCACTCGAGGGAGTACAGAGTAGGGCCACAATAATGATTAATGAGGTCAAGGGACTATCATATGAGAAGCGGTCAGAAGTGCTGGGATTATAATCACTCGAACGAAGGTTAAGGAGGGGCGATTTCATCCTGGCTTTCAATATATTTAAAGGAATAGATAATGTAGAGTGTGGTAGGTTTTTCCAGTTTGATGGCAGCAAGAGAACGAGAGGTAACAAACTTAAGTTGCTTGAACCGCAGGTGCGACTCAGATCGAGACAGGAATTCTTTACTTGCAGAGTGGTAAACGCGTGGAATGCGTTAGATGACGATGTAGTGGCTGCCCCGCGCCAAGACTATCTTTAAGAAGAAACTGGATGCTTTCATGGACAGACAAAAAGGTGGGGAGGGGGGGCAATGTTGACGTTAGGTACAAGACAGTAAGGAACTAGGTTACACAAAAAAACAAAAAAAATACAAAAATATTTAGCTTCAAGAGTGTTAGGCCTACCCTAAAATTAAGAAACGCTCGACCACGACACGTGATATCGAAATGGGTGAAATGGCCTCTTGATAATGGCCTCAAAGTTCGGGAAATCCATATCCTATCAATTCTATTTTACCTGCAATGTCTACATGTTTCTCTACATATCGTCTGAAGGTAACCCAATGAACTGCATCATCTCGTCCCCCAAGCGGAGGAAATTTCCTGGACACGTTGCCTTCGATCGACATGGATATACGACAAATATAACTTGTTACGAAAAGAAGGGATGATATCTTCAGGAATTTCTTCATGATAACTTTCCCCAGGTGATTCCTAGGATACGGGACATAAGACGAGGTTTGGACACGAAGTCGTCCGGCAAACCAACTTCTCAGAGTGATATTTCATGTCATACCTGGAGTATAAATATCTAAAGTACAAGCCTCACTTACACATTAATGGAAACTCTCGGACCGTGGTGCAAACAAGACTCTAAAAGCAAGATGATAAATGATGTATTCCTAGTTCTGGGTTCTGCATTATTACGTGTAGCTTGGGATATGGATAAACTTTTTCTGTGCAAGTACTCATTGTTAACATGTTTCGCCGTCAAGACGCGATTTTATACCTTCACTGTTCTTGTCTGACTCCCAAACCAGAGCAGACATTCTTCGGATATGGCATAAAGTTAACTTCAGTCACGTGACAGATTTGTAACTCTACATGAATTCCACATGACTGCATCGCACATGTTCTCCTATATCGAATTCCGCCTTCTGCTTCTGCGGCTTCCAGGAGTCTTTGTCAAAAGGCAGGACGACACAAATTGCTTCTATTCAGACTGGCATGGAAATAAGTTGAAAAGTAAAGAAAAAGAAAGAGATGGAATCCCTTTAGCTATTGGGACGACGATACTCTCGTCTCGTATTTTTGGTATAATAATAAAATCTTGCTTTTTTTAAAATGTGTTTTCATTCATTAAATTCGTTATTGTATCCCTGTTTTCAAGCAAAATCATTAATTCTTCATGTTTACTATCTGGGTGCATTGGCTTGGTTTCGTAAAAGAATAAGGTTTTGTCGTGAGCCGACGAAAGTATTGTTCGTAGTAAAGTCAGGAGGTATCGCATTTTTTCCAGGGGAAACCTGCATTTTCTGAGTGGAGGGCCTCCAAATAAAATGGAGGCAGGAGCAACCAATGACTTGCGCAATCATGCTGTGGACCTCCGAGCATATAGCGGGGGTTCGAAGGACTTCTATTTGACAACATCAGCGATTGAGCGAACTCACGACAGGGAGTGCATTAAGAGCAATGTCACTCATCACGAGACGAATAGGCAAGGGAGGCGCGGGGAGGAGATTTCAAAGAGGTACTCGAATGGGGAGGAGAGTTGAACTTCAACTCACCTGTGCGTTCGCCAATCCATGCATACATGGATTTTTTTATTATCGGCGTTTCGATGGACGTTAGGACGCCTGACATTCTGCGGATCACATTTCTCTTTATGACAAGGAACACATGTAGATTTGGCTGTTCATTGAATAATATAATGTATAATTTGTGAAATCTGTCACAGAGACAGAAATTCTCAGAATCTCTGGATGGACCAGGGACAAGGGCTGTGTGAAAAAGCCTAGTAAGTCTGCATTTCGATTCCTGCTCATCATAAACACGATTCCGTACAAGATCTGTAATGCTGCCTGTTTCCAACAGGCTCGAAGACCATATCGATAGCACTCTTTAGCAATAGCATCTGCCAATCTTTTTGGACAAGGAAGCCACCACAATGTTGTAACTATTCTTCCGGAGTTTTATGCGAGAGCAAGGAGAATTGTACTTTGGATAATTTTTCCTCACACGGGAAGGGTATATTTATTTAGCTATTTATTTATGCACGGTATACGCAAGGAAGGGATGCAACGGAATACTATCGCAAGTCATCGTTCCAGAATATTTTGCAATTAGGCTGCAGGAGCCCTAAAACACCCAGGCATATGACAGAGTGAAAAATTTCTCGTATATTAGTCTAGACGTTTCCGCACATACGACGCTTTACTGGGGAAATGGGGTTACTACGCTGCTGGGGGAAATGTTACTCAGAATTGGTACATAGTCTCACCTATCATAATCCATGATTGTGTTGATACGGTGTGCGATAGTGAGAACTGTGCAGCTCTCATCCAGCTATAGAAAATAAAAGGGCTCCAGATGTAAAATAATCGGTTTGCTTTTCTTGTTGAATGATGAAACACATGTAATCAATATGACAAGAAAACGTTATTCCCAATTCGAATAACATCACAAGGGCAATATTTTTAAATAGAACCTATTCTTTAGACATACATTTAAATTTTCTATACATACCGCAAAGGGGAAAATATCCGCTGACGCTTGGTGAGGTAAAATATGTGGAAGCGTTGGGAGAGAATATCAAATAGGTGGTGAATCTATCCTGGATAAGTTCAATAAATGTTTCAATAAATGTTCAATAAATGACGGATGTCATTCGAGGGAGACGGATTGAAAAATCATAGAACCTGGCAGCAGTGATTTGAGGATAGTTGCGATTGTTATTGCGATCGACTCCTTCCTCTGATTCTCGGATAAACTGTCCTTCTCGTCTGTAGGATCGGATGGAAGAGATTCCATTGACGGTCTCTCCAAAATGGGAATATATGGTGGATCGCCATACAGATTCGAGCCTTTTCATTGCCGGGATACGGAGACATACATATCCTGGGGGTGCACAAACAACGAGAGAAGCTTGAAAGTAGCACATGCTTTTTTTTTCTTAACCTTTTCTGGGCGTACCTGGGCTAAGTATTAAGCTGCACCGATTGGGACGAGAACAACGAAGAACCATGGAACGGTGTAAATAATAATAACTATAGCGCCGATGACCTGCAAGGTAACAGACGACTCCCAAATCGCATGCATTTCATAAGTGAAAAGTTCTTTCACGCCTTGGGTCAAACTTTTTGTTTACCTCGAAGGCACATATCAGAGAGTCTTTCAAGAAGGGAGCGATGCCTTCGTCAACGACTGAAACGTCTTGGGAGAATCGGTTCAGAATCCTTCCCACAGGATTGGTGTCGAAGAATTTCTGAGAGTTCCTCAGAACATTATGGAAGCAGTTCTTGAGAAGTACTCTCCCAGCCTCAAAAAATCGAAACTGATAGCATGAAGGAAGTCCAAGCGAAGACACCAGCTGCCACGATGAATGGACGATTACAATCACTGCTGCCACAGAAATAAGCGACCTTAGCCTTCATGCAGCTCACCGTACGATAATCCAAGAGCGGAGTACGCTGCGATGTACGAATTTCTTTGTGATGTGTCCATGGTATGATTCAGGGAGGCCATCTCGGCCCATTTGGATAGGGCGATGTTGGAATTTATTATGAGTGCTAGACTGATCCCATGCAAGAGAATCGTGACTAGAGACAATGACAGGCTCATGCTCTTCAGGAAATACAGGTACACCGACCACTCCACCTATATTAATAAGTTGCATTCTGAATTGAGGAGCACTGAAATTCACCAATCAATTAAAGTTGAATTTTACAAGGTAAAATTTACTTATATTACTTCTCCTTTTTCTGCAGTTTCATCCGGAATGAGCCTTGCTTCATTTGCAGCATGCAATGACGTCCTCTCTTCTCTTCTTTCATTCAGCACTTCACTCCATGGCAGACAAGAATATAAAAATGGGGACCTGTAAAGTTGAAGAGTGCCAGAGAGAGGAAACCGAATATGCGCTGACTTGCCTTGGATGGAGCGAATTCGCACCTTCGGATAACTTTGACAGGTTCTTTGCCCGTTGCCTGTTGATAATCTTTTGCCCTGTGACATTCTCCACTTCACGTTTGATGTTCTCTAGTTCATCTACTCCATCGAATGGAAGCTAATAACCATGTCATTAAAATGTATATGGGAAGCATAATGACAAAAGTCTGACCTGAATCGTCTCCTTCTTGGGAAATAAACTGAATGATGAATTCAGAGAATCCTCCTTTCTCTTGGACCAACTCTTGATAACTCCCCATCTCAGTGATTCTTCCTTCCTTCATAACGATAATTAAGTACATTTGTGGCAGGTGGGTTATTCCATGGGTGACGAGTAAACGCGTCTGAGAGTCCATCAGCGTATGCGCAGGAATAAAACAAAAACACTTTCTTTAACCTTAATAGTCACCTACCTTGTTCTTGAGAAGTCCCTGTGGCCCGATGACATGCTGGAAGATGTGCTTTCCTTTATGACTGTCAACAGCACTAAGAGGGTCATCCATCTGCATCACTGTAGACTGCCCTGGCCAGACTCACTCTCTGCTTCTGTCCTCCACTTAGGTGTATGCCCTATAGGAAGAGCGAAGTATTCATTACAGTTACTTGTAAGCATATACCGCATCGCAATCATATGCCAGACCTTTTCCCCTGTTTCAGTCATGTCACTCGCAGGCAATATTGGCAGATCTTGTACCAGTGACAGAATCGCCTTGTAGAATGAATCATTGTATGTCTTCCCAAATATCACGTTATCCTTGACTGTTGCGTTGCGAAACCATGCTTCCTGAGGGACGTATGCCACCTCCCCCTGTTAAAGCAGATGGAGGAAGAAGTAGTATTTCTTTGAATTTGTGACTTAGAGAATGTTTCCTAACATTCCTCCATGCTATCTTCCATTATCCATTATTTTCCTCCATACCATTACGGTTTTTTTTCTAATCGTTCCAACCGAAATCCTTCCAACTTTCTTACTAATATGTGGACATGGTGGATTTTAATTTTGTATTGATTCCTGAATTCTTTGCATTGTGGGAGGATATGTGATGTGTGAGGATTCGAATTTCATCGAATTCGCGCAGCTTAACACCAAGAGCATGTTTTCTTAAAATTCCACGTACTTTGGGATTGGAATTACCAAATGCTATGCAATAACATTTTTCAAGGAATCATGAGAGGGGTTCAATAATTGGAGCAGGTACATTACGAAACACGAAACACCCCAGCAATGAGCTCAGCTGTGCGTGGACGCCGTCCAAATATAAATAATGTACGTCATACATTTTAAGATTTTCTATCAATAGGAAGTTATCTAGAGCCGTATTAATCTTTTTAAATACCCACCCTGAAAGCAGGTGCCTTTGAATCAGCGTTGATTCAACGTTGTTTCAACGTTCAGATGTTGAATCAACACTGAATCAGTGTTGTTCCAATGTTACATGCTACTAGGGCATATTCGTATTCTTAATTGAAAAAATCCTCAAATGGTTCCACCCCCTCTTTTAACAAATAACCTTCTCGTACGTATGCGTACGAAAAGGTAGTTTGTTAAAAGAGGAGGGAGAGCCTCATTCGCCCGTTTTATGCAAGCGTAGTGCCTGCAAAGCAGCCTGAAAACTCCTGCAAAGCGAACGTAAACAAAGACAGTAGAGGAAGGGTTTACTCTTCATAGGAATTAGCACCCTACGTAAATCGTGCTGCATCCCGTCTCTAACTATTGCATGGAGACAATATCTGGAATAAGTTTTCCGATCATCTGGTCGTTGCACTTCTGCGTTTTTTGCGGCTCGATTTGAAGAATGATTACCAACAGTTGTAACTGATCTGTGGCTTATAGGGCCACAGCAATTCACCTTGCTTGCACACTGGGTGTTCGGGTGTCATATCAAATCAAATGCTTTTAAGTTTGATTTCTTGGGGTAGGACCTGGATTTATTCTAAACGATATTGTCATCCAGCTTCCGAACTCTGAGGCGAAAATAAAGCATCGACTGAATTCCTCTGCAAATATCATGGAAGGTCAACATAACAAGCTTAAGGTAAACAGGCATACCATTACGTTGACAAGGCCCGAAACCTTCTCCATGTCACCAAGGAAAGCAGAAAGCAAAGAGAATTTTCCGGGACCGACTTGGCCAACAACTGCAACCAACTTCCCGACTGGAACTCTTAGGTGAAGGTCCATCAACAATGGTGGCTCATCCAGTGACCAGGTCAATGTTCCATTCTCGATTAGGACTGCATATCCGTCTTTTACAAATAAGAACATTTTGCGATAAATTCAAACCATGTCGCTGTCGCGTCGTCAGCACTGAATGACGCCAACCGGTAGTGTGATTTCGAGAACGTGATACATTGCTGGAATCCAATTCATTAGCATTCATGAAACTGTTTATCCTCTTGACGGACACCATGGTCTGCAAAAAGTCAATCTACCGTGAATATCACTTGTCTTCAAAGAATGGATGATATAAAAATAAGTACGTGGTACACCACTAAATGTAAAGGATGAGACGCAGCCAGGGGATCAGACCTCCTATTTTCTCTTATTGCACTCTCGGGAGATTGGCAAGAGTCATGATGAAAAAATATACGGAATCAAAGATATCCTAAATTACGAAACTATAATTTGAAAGCGTCCCTATCACGGACTGAAATTTCAACGAACGAAAGAGAACGTAATGATATACGTCTATTCACGAAATGCAGGATGCTCAAACTTTTTTTTAAAGCGGGAAGCATACCTGAACGAGTTCCGAGGTGAAATGTGGCAAATGTGCGATGGGGATCAGAAAAATGCGCAAGAGGCTCAACGGCACAAAAGCAGTGGAAACATCCAGGACGTGGCGTGAATCGATCAGCACGAAGGTAACCAGAGACACCAGGCCTACCTGTGGGAGGATATACGAATGAAAATGTGAAAAATACTGGAAATTTCACGAAGTAGAGCGATTCAGCACCAAAAACGGAATGGAGCTATGAAGGAATGAACCAATCGATTCCACATAGGCTTGCTTTCGAAGTAGTTGGATCTCTCCGTCTCGAAATTTCATGATGCGCTCTTGGAACTGCAGTTCCCAAGCATACAACTTCAGCACCTGCAGTAGAAGTAGAACAGGAGAATTTTGTTGAAAAATTATGCATAAGCACGCGTGTGTATTAAGTATTCATTTCGGCACCTTGATGCCGTTAAGAACTTCATTCATGAGTTTCACTCGTTCGTCCTTCTCTCTTATTTGCTGGACTTGGAGTTTTTGGAGCCGAGAAGCAATCACACCATGGAAGGGAATTGCGATGAGGATTACTCCCATTCCGGTCAGGACGGAGGGACCTGTCACCAACATTCGGGTGTGGATTATTCTCATGACGATCTCGTGTGATCAGGAAAATCTGATCATGAGATTTAGATAATCCATTCATTGCCTCAGGGGATACCTAAGTAAGCCCACAGAAGATAGCCGGCAATTCCAAGTTGAATGGGTAACGCGAGAATCATGCTCAAATTGAATGGAATGTCCAGAAATCTTTTTGCATCCACGGACATCAAGTTCACCATCTCCCCGACCGTGGATTTCTTGCGAGCAGCTGGTGACAAACGCAGAGACTAGAAAAAAAGAACAAATTCCTGAGCATCCACTGAATCAGAAGCTTAATAAGTGATATGAAAAAAGGACTGATAGAAATCTTTTCAACCATCCTATATATAGCGGAAATGATCGCTGCTCTCATCTGCATTCCAGCCACTTTGGATTTCTGAAAGGAAGTGGAATAGAAGATCGCCTGCAGGACGGCAGCGAGAAGCAACCCGAGTGCGTTGAAGCAGCCCTGCCATAGCGGAGCGTCTCCGCGCACGAATGAGATCATCTGGCTGGAAAGGAAGACCATGTGACATCCTCCAGTCTCCTCTATTGTTGAGAATGAAATCTGAGATGCAAATGGGTCTTACTGGAGGAGTAGTGGATTTGCGAAGCCTGTCGTGTCTGCTAGGAACAGAAGGAATCCGCTGAGGAGAAACTGGGCTTGATAGGTTCTCCATAACGGTCTAATGATGGAAATTTTCCTCCAGGTTCTTTTAGTGTTCGTAATACACATATCTCATGTCGAAAAACTGAAATTTACTGTGAATTCTACTCCACGTTCATCATTCACAGGAAAATGTTCATACTTGCCAAAGGGCGGTGATTCGTTGCGTGTCATCATGTTCCTATTGAAACTTGAGACACCGCCCTGTGAGGTATATTCCACATTGAGATCCCAGAGAAATTCGAAAGTGAGTGGGCGTTTCCACCCGAACCATATGAGCTCCGTGCATAAGGAAAACCAAATTCGTGAGAAGAGAGAAGCTTGCTTCTCAGGAGACCGATTCTGTCATCAGTAGTGCTGATACCGAATTCGAAATAAGTCAAAGACTGGAGGCAACTATGGCAAGTTCTTACTCACCTGAAAAACGGCATTATTCCTGGGATAAGTGGGTGGGGTTTGCATGAAGCAGTAGAGAATAATCTCACCAGAGATGAGGAAAAACTCAAAGCAGAAAAAAATGCGAAAAACTCTCAGATTCCATCATGCTATAAACAGAACTGTTACCATGTTTTTCTCCGTATGGAAAGGATAGTCCTTAGAATGACCAAAATAAAGAGATTCACATCATAAAGCAGGTGACGAACACGACTCCACAAAGAGACAGAACCCTTGAAGAAGAGCAAGGCCTCGAAAGTGAGCAAGATGCACGACTTGGGAATGCTTCTCGCCTTCTCCATGTACGTGAACAAGCAAGCAAGAGCCTGAAACATCAGGTGGATGATGACCTCAATTTCTGCAATTTCTTCCATGAACTGACATGCTGGGGGAAGAAAAACACTCGGAGCTCACCATCGTGAGAAGAAGCACTGTAGGCGTCAGGTAGTGAATCGGTGCTGATGGATGAGTGGCAAATGCACTAAGCAGATCCACTACGTACAGGACCAGTAATAAGAAGGCCAGAGACTGAAAAGAAAAAAATGAGATAAATACGCAGGCATAAGATAATGAGAAGCTCACGTTTCGAACTTCCAGAAAATAAAAGCTTCCATCTGTGACAATGACCTTTTCTGATGGTGTTCATTCAAAGACTTGCACTTGGGGGTACTTCAACGTCATATAGAAATGTGTGAACTTGGGAGACTGCAATGAAGTGATTTAATGTTTCCTAATTGGTCCATGAGGGACATCAACCAAAGGAATTCGAAGCATTAGATGGCTTTCTTATTGTGCTTTAATCACAGAAATGTATCTAAAATTGGGCACATCCAAAGACTAATGAAGTCACTCATGGAGATATTTCAACGCTTGATGAAACTAGAACATTTATGTATAAACGACAGTAAGGAACATACGAATTTTGCAACATTAAACGATGTCCATGGAACGTCCTTCCCAACGCCCTTGTGGAGGCAGCGAACCTCAAACGCTGCCATGACCCACAGCCATCCACACGGGACCCACACCAGCACGGTGTTTCGGAAGCATGGTGTCAGAGTTCCGCTTTCCGTCACGTTCGCATCCTAAGCGAAAATCAATTTCGCCATGGCTCAGCTTCGACAATGCGAGAGTGCAATGTGTTTGATGTTTTGGCGAGACACGGTTTAAATTGGTTTGAATCGCGAGCAGCCCCTAAAGAGATGAATTCCCTTTCATCTATTCCTACAATGAGAGTCGCCTTATATAATTCCGTATTCCGCCGATTTCACCGTCACTCTCATCCTCTTCATCTTTTGATGAGTACTGGCACCGGTATCGAGCTTCAGAAAGCTGTTAAAACGATCCGAGCAAAGATAGATTCGGAAGACTGAAGCACCTCCGTCGCAATCTCGCCGCGAACTCGATTGTATGCATGAATGAATGCATGAAGCCCTGCAATCGTTCTCGAGGAAAGAGGAACATCTGAACTGCATTAAATGGAACTTCTGCTCTGTGCCAGTACCCACGAGTTTTTTTCCGTAGGAATCTTCTAATCCAATTGTCAAAGATGGGAGCGAATAACAATGAGACTAAAACCGCCCCGAATCCGTGACTCCATGAAAATATGCTCCAGGTATGCAAGAGTGAACCATAAAATTATTTTTCCTTCAAATCATCTGTGCCGTTTCATAAACAGCTGCTTTGAAAGACGCAGGAAAATACGTCTGTAGGACACTCGAGGGCGAATCTTCAAAATAGTACGAATCCAGTCTCAGTCCAGATAATTTATCGATTGTGCAAATGTATTAGCGGAATCCAGATCATTACTGTAGTGTTACCGAGGTAAATATTTAATGAGTTTCGTCCATTGGCTCCAGCGTCATGGTTAAGTGACCGGACGAATTTCGACGCCGTAGCAGCTCTCTTTGAAATAGACCATGAAGAAACGTGCCAGCACGCCTGCACCGAATCGAGCATGCGCGTGAGAGCCTTCAGGTCAACGCCCCTCTCCCCTTCACACTCCCTCTCGTCACATGTGCTGTGAGCGTGATAGGAGATGCCAGTGTGACGCGTCTATAAGGAGGAGGAGGACTTCGGGCTAGGGGAGGGGGCCTGGCAAGGAACGGAGACTGAATGTCATGTTTTATATAAACAGGGAATCAGTTGAATATATTGATAGTTGAATCTCTACTAGATATGTCCACCTCCATTTATAACAACTTCTGCCAAGGAAAGCATATTGGCATTAACATTCTTTATTAATCACTTGGCAGCTTACCCAGAATGGAGACTCGCAATATCCCTGGAATGGAGGCATTTCCTCTCAGGGAAGCGGAGATTCTTGAAACGACGGAAGCACGACGGAGGCAAGACCCACGTCTCCTTCTTTTGTCGGCGATAAACGATGTTTTCCTGCTCTGTTGGCCTGTTAGACATATTTCGAAGAACCTTATTGTCATGTTTATTTTAGTCGTATCGTGAATTCCCAGTTAGGTATTAGAAAGTGGAGCTCATTGTACCTGTTTCAGCCGAGAAGCGACTAGAAAATGCATGGTTCACACACAGAAAATTCAGTGCCTCAGTTCGATGCATTTTTCTCGCGAAAAAATCTGTCCTGCATGTGATGCGTCTTTATCGCATCGAATTTTGGATGCGGTTATCGCATCAAATGTTGGATGCGATAAAAACGCATCACATGGAGGACAACTTTTTTCTCGACGAAAATGCATTCATTTGATTCTGCGTGTATGTCAGGTATATTTTGCGCTTCTGCCGCATTGAACATTTCGCGATGAACTTCAGCCACATCGAAATTTGCCTTGCGTGTCCTATTGTGGGAATATAGTGGCTTTAGAGCTTAAAGCCCGAATACACGAACCTCATTCAGGGGAGACAACGGGGATTTTAGCGAAGGAGCTCTTTTTCTCTCATAGGAATCCATGTATTCTTAAAGGACTGTTAAATATATAGTTAACAGTCGGATCTCATATTAACGATACGTGTTGCACCACCAACGCACCAAACGGAATACAAACACCGTATGAAACTGGACTCGAAGAATTAAGTAAGCGGTTACATGGGAATCCATTCGAGACGCACGAGCTACTCGCACGGGTCGGAGGGAAGGTGAAGTGACGAAGAGGCCATGCACTCAGGCGGTTGCGTGTGAATCCCTCGGCCTCGACAGCCGACTTAGTGAAAGTTCCGACTTAGTGAAAGTTCATGATCATGCTGACGCTGGTTATTGGATGGGTCATCCAAATATCAGAGAAGCATATACAGCTCTACCTAAACCGATGCAGACAAGATTAGTTGCAATTCACGCTTAAATATGTCAATATTCGAGTCGAACTGAGGGAGACTCCGGGCTAAATTTGCGGCTGGCACGACACTTTGCTGAAAGTGAGGAATGAGATAACATACCTGCATCGACGACCAACGACAACGAATGAGGACTTGATGCAACCACAAGATGAATGAGAGGCACGAAGGAACCACTGCTGAGAAATGACCCCGTATCTTCCGCACCCAGCAGCGAGAGAGACGCAGCCTCGTCCGGATCGAGCAGTGCAAGGCAGTGGACGCACGGATTCGCCAAGCAGTCCATGGCCTTGGGCCTTCTCGCGCATGTCTCACTTGTCTCACACGAGAAGGGACAGAGCGATGTTGCGGATCAGATGAAAGGAAAGCGTAATGTGCAGCATTCATGGCACAGGTTCGGATAGCAACCATTTCTACGCTGCCATGTACTGTGCAGGTGCTGCCTCCCACTCCGCTTATCTAGTTCAATCTATCCGGCAAGAAGGCTAGAGAACTGACACCACTGGTTGCAGACATGGCACCGCGCCCAAGTTCCGTGTCGTCCGCGGATGCGAATTGTGGTCCATGTCTTGGAGGACTAAGGGGGATTCATGCCGACCCCTCCGTGACCAAATCTCAATTCCAAAATTTTCAATAAAAATGCCAATTTTGGTGCTAATTCGCCACAAAACGAACTCAGCCTGCATCTTGTTCATATCTACCAGCTTGCCAATTTCCGCATTCATCGAGCCAATATTTTTTCGCTATCGTTGGACGACCATAGTGTGACAAACGGACGGACAGGACGTGAGCATAAGTGGTCTCTTTCCATTTCGCATTGAACAGACCATTTTTTTTAGCTATCGTCGGACAACCAAAGTGTGATACACGGACACACGGACGGACAGGATGGGACTGTAAGTGGTCTCTTTCCTTTGATGAGAGCGAAGCGATGAATATAAATTTTATTCTCTTTGAATAGGAGGGAAGCCATGAGACTCCGTTGGAAAATAATTATTGGCAACATTCATGCGATTTCCACCCTCCCTATACTTTTTTGGTCTGGTCTTTCTTTTTGAAATCCCTCCCTGAAAAGTTTCGATGAAATGTTAATTCTTTCTTGCCACCTCAATTGAAGCAGTAAAACTTCAAATGCACTGACGACATTCCATAGCAGGTTTTATTTTTACAAATACCCGCTAAGTTGATTGGGGCATAGCCACGCCTGCATCCCTTGTTAGGGCCGCGAACAGGGAATCTGAAACTTGAAGGAGAATGGTTGGAGAGTCCAATTCTTTGATTTCTCCTCTATCCAAGACCAGAACCCTGGAATGAAGGGCGCGGTTTGTAACATTATGTTGCTGAGGGAAAGAGAAATTTTTGTTTCAAGGTCTCACCTATCATAATCCATGATGGTGTTGATTCGATGCGCGATAGTGAGAACTGTGCAACTCTCGAACTCACTCCGAATTGTATTCTGGAAGGCAAAAACCGAGAAATAAGGACGGGTAATTAAATTGTATCTGTTTGGCTATGTATTTTGCAGTTCTCTCACTTTGCACTAAAGTGGAGTAGATGAATTGATGCCATGGAAAAGTTTAATTACCTTATCAAATATTTCGTAAAATTGTTTGTCTAATGGAAAAAGTTCGGCCCGATATGTACTAAAACATCGTGAGGTAACCAATCCATACTTCAGGAATTCCTTGGGACAGAAGTCCTCCTAAATTTTTGCGACAAGACCTCCATAATAATTCAGACCATAATGTTGAGGACCTGGACCTAATCAATCGTTACTTGACGCGTCCCCAAGTTTTGTCTGTACGATGAAGGAGCGCCATTTAACACGAATGTTGAACTGGAGATTGATTGTTTTGTCGGTCGTGAATGAGGAAAACAGGAGCAACAATATTTAATAATTAAATCGTGCACAAAATGCTCTTCTGCATGGAATAGCGCCGATAATGATACTTTCAAGCCTGTGCTGCTAACGGTCTCCGAAATGCTTTCGGTCATGTTTTCAGAAAGTGCTATTTCCCTCAGTTTAGTCGGTAATCTTTACGCAGATCCTTCCGGGGGTTCAAACACCGCTAGAACAATTTTTGGATACTTAGAGCAAGCAAGAATTTGGTTCAGAAACTGAATATTAACTTCAAAGTATTATTTTAAGCTAGAGCTTCTTAAATTTATTCAAGCGTTTTTTAAAATCTCATTGACTTTACTTATCATCGCAACAGAGCTATCTTTTACGTTACTGTGAGTCTTTCCTACCCCTGCGTACTGACTTACTTGAATGAGCTCATCTGTTTCAAGGTCGACAGAAGCTGTTGCCTCATCTAACACGAGGATTCTACTCTTTCTCAGCAATGCTCTTGCAAGGCAGATTAGTTGCCTCTGGCCGACACTAGAAAAAAATCCAGAAAAAAATGTAGATCCACATATGACCGGTAGCAAGAAATCAAGGTACGGACATTGGGCATAAGCGTAGTACCTGAAGTTCTGTCCTCCCTCGGAAACAGGTTGTTGAAGTCTCTGCGGGAGTCCCTTAACAAAGGTTTTGAGATGCGATAACTCCAGGGCTCTCCATACTTCCACATCAGTATGCATCTCAAACGGATCCAGGTTCATGCGAAAGCTCCCCGAGAACAGCACAGGGTCCTACTTCCATGTCAATATCGCATAGTTTAAGAGCTATCTTTTACACTACTACACTAATCTTCCTCTTTTTCTGACCTGAGGGATTATTGTGAGGTGTGAGCGTAAGTCATGTAGTCCGATTTGACTGATATCGATTCCATCAATTGTGATTTTCCCACCGGCCTTCTCGATGATACGAAAGAGCCCCAGCATGAGGGAAGACTTCCCCGCTCCTGTTCTGCCCACCACACCTATCTGGTAGGAATCTGGTCAGAACATCATTCGAAGCAGTTTCTCCAAATTTCTCTTTCTAATCTATTAATAACTTTACTCGGTTTCAAGCGCTCCATGTAAAGAAGTTTCTGAAACAATCAATGTGATTGACAAAAATAATGTGCAGAGGGAAGGCACCGGCGGCGATGATTCGGAGAACTGAAGCATGTTCAAGCTCTCCAAATGGATTTCATGACTTTTCAGAATTTCTTCATTATGTACTTCAACCTTATCATATTTTAAAGTCACAGATTCTGGCCATCCAAATTTGTTAAAATGGCTCCCTGGAGGTCTATCTGAAGAACAATTTTATAGAGAGCATCATCATATAATTGAACATCTCTCATAAAATGTAGAGAAGAACATGCTTAAGTAATGCAATGGAAATCTTTGAAATTAAAGATATTTCAGAGTTATAAAATAAAATATAACCGCCAGTTCATCGCCGACAACGTACGTATTAAACTCTGAGCTCTTTCTACCAATAGTTGCAATATACCGTGATGTCGTGTAGGAAGGAGCTATGTAAACTTTTACATTTTTCTACATGGCAGTGATATACGAAATGTTGGGCACGAAGACGCACAGCAAAGCACGCCAGAAATCGACTATTTCAATCACTTGCAAGCCTTGCAACCTTTCGGCACTGCTCAATGACACGTACTGAAATGTGTAATAATGTCTGTAATGTCGGTTTGTGGCAACCACCCCATGCGTACATTGATCAACAGGTGTCACCCAGGAAATAGTTTGCACTCACCTACGTATGGCAGTGTAGTGGGGGAGATAGCCTAGGAGCACTCGTAAAGGAGACAACTGAATTCAAGCACCTATCCAACTTCATGCCCCCGTGCAACGAGGTACCTTTCTCTCTCCAACCATTCTTGATGATTTGTTAGTGAACCATGGGCGGCTCGTGATATTCAGCATTAGTTTATTCTTAATGGAAGTAGGATAGGCCCCGGTCTACCCTGCCTCCATTGACGATCCACTATTGCAGAATATCACGAGCTGCCACAGCAGTGAACATTTTCAAAAGAAACTCAGAAGCACCAACGGTACAACTTAGAAAAATCTCAATTTCGCTTACATCTTACGAATTCTGCAACTTTTCGGAAGTGCAAGCTCCGCCAAGAAAAACCGACTTAAAATCTTGCCTCATATAACATAAATTTTGGCATGAAGAATGACTTGGTTGTGGATTTCCAAGTGTCATCTGAGCCCTAATAAGTCCAGCCAGGTAAAATAAGACATCCGACGTATGTCCGCAGTATATCCTTAGGATCTGAGGGTATACTATGGACATATAGGTATGTCGGATGTCTTGTTACCTGAGGGATATGCTGGAGCATAGGAGTATGAAAGGGTATATCTGTTCATGTTTCCAAGAGTACACAGCTAATAATGAAGGTGAGATCCCGCACCCTTAAGGGTGTTCATGCTTTGTCACTAGACAGCCACCCTAGTTCTAAGCATGATCACCATGAAACTAGGGTGGGGACGCTCACTGTGGTGTCCAGCACTCTTGGTGGTTGCACGGCTATCCGCGGGTGCAAATGCCTCACCAGCTTTTCAAGATAGCATCACATTTTTAATAGTCAGCACACGCCCGTCGACTTCGCCCCGGGGCGATAGAAAAATTATTTCGGGAATTCCATTCATAGTCACTCTCCATTCTCACCCCTGGTGTTCCATATAATTCCTTAATTTATTATATATACGATTCTATCGGTGTGTAACTGATTCGTTTCGTTGCAATTGTTTGTTACACTTGATAGGAGACTCATATCGACCTACTTATGTACGGCGTGAACCTTTCAGGACATCGACATTTCTATGATTTCATGAATATATTTTCCCAATGTGTTGCCTGTACACCTAATACGTATACCGACCGGTATGAACATTTCTTCTCGCAAGAAGTCAAACGCTAATGTAGGAGGTATCGATCTAAATTATTCCAATGAGAACCCAATTCCATACTTGATCTATATTAACCCAGAGGGTATGTCTTGAAGCTTGAATCCCTCTTTTTCCTTCCTTAGGGTAAACCTTTTCAGACGTCTCCCTGTGCTTACATTTTTGGATAATAATATTGTGGGATTCCAATGTATTGCGCTTCGCTGTAAGAAGGAAAAAAGTTACGTACTCTTTGTGAGGAACTCCAGAGGCGTGGCTTAGTTTCTTTACAAACGATCAACTGGGTTGGCGACTGAGGTGCCATCTTACATCGGTAATGGTTACCTTACCTATACACGAACATCCAGCTGCTTCACCTAATGAAAGCGAAATGACAGTGGTATAACTCGCTTATCAAATTATTGAATAGGCGAACAATGCACGGGCTTAGGGGAACCTCGGTTATACCGACAGCGTTCCATAGACCCCGTGTTGAACGAGCCGTCGGATAAGCCAAAGATTCCACCTCTTTCCCGCCCTTTCGAAGGGCCTTCGGCTATGCCATAGGTCTTACATCAGAGAGGGAGAGGCGGACAACCAAGAGGGATTCTTTCACACGGCGACAAGCAGGCGGCCTCGTTTTTCGATATCCAGTCAGGGAACCTCGATTTCGCTTTGTTCCCATTTTCTGGATATTGAAAACAACTCGTCCGTCTGTCGATCGGTGTGTAAGTAAAGCTCGTTTTGATTATCTGACTCTCCCCCCTTATGTAACTCGTGCTTAAACCGAGCTCATGGATTTAATGCAAAATAAATAAGGAGACAGCAGGATTTATCTTCGGTTACCTCATCCTTCGTAAGATTAAACTAAGATTAAGTGTGAGGCGTGTTCTGCCTCGGGGCTCTTGAAACCTTCAAATGACCATGTTTTTTTAGATGAGCTTGAACACCCGCTGGGGTGATTATTAGCCCCAGGGGATCATCCCTCCGGCAGGGGTGAGCATGACAACAGGTTTTCAGTTGAAAGGACTAATATATACCCCTTGGGTGCTCCCATGCATCCACTTGATAGTAAGGAGAGCCTGAAGTGCTGCGCGAGCCTCCTAGGGAGGGATTGAACGCGCAGAGGGGAGAATGCGTCTCCAAATGCGTGCACACCCATTTTTCAGCCATCGCACACCCTACACTCACCCTTATTATTTGTTATTTAGGAAAACATGCTTCTTAGTTTCAGTTACACGAAGCACAGGACGAAAGCCGAGAACTGAGAAGGATGCCAAATGCATTGTAAGTCTCCATTGTAGACTCGACATTTGTCGAATTCTGTATTCCAATCTTGTACTTGACCAATTTTATATACACTTCTGTTTCCATGCACTTCCGTCTTCAGAATTCTTATAGCAATATGTTTGCTCACCTTTTCCCCTCCTTTGATGTCCATAGTGATACCTTTAAGGACTAGTTCTAGACCATCTCTGTATCTGATCTGGTAGTCACGGAAAGAAATATTTCCTTCTTGGGGCCATTTTTCATTTGGCTTTTTCTCTGGGATCTTCCATGGAGCCTCAGTTGGAGTCTCACAGTATTCCTTGATCCTTTCGACTGCCACGATGTTGGTTTCTACCTCAGCCACCATCCGAGCCAGCCAGTTGAAAATTCTGGAAGCCTGTAAATCAGGAGGTTATCTTCTTTTCATGAGTCCATATATTGCATATATTTCATATATTCAATGGAGGGATAACGAAGGAAACTGACAGACATGGCGTAGGTGATGGACAAACCCGCCAAGGCCGGGCTCAATGAACCTCTTCCGAAGACGGTGAGAAGAGAAGCAATGAATGTTATAATGCCACCAAGTGCTTCAAGTCGGACTCTCAGCCAGCTTGAAGTAATCGGAGTGGTAGATAAAGAAAGGAATTGAATTTTCAATGGGTCATTCCGTGTCAAATAGGCCAAAATTTAGGAATCTGGTTGAATAACCTACTGGAATATAAATCAATTGGTTCTAGGTAGCTTTGTTAATTCCAATTACTACATTTTGCTTTATTTGACTAATGGTCACCTCCTATAGCTACTGCTCGATTTCCGAAACATTTATGACTCAGAAAATGAACTTGTCTATGTCCTATAATTTCATGTCGATTTCATATTACTGCTTTGAAAACCGGAATGTTGAGAACAATTTTTTTTTAAACAAAGCCATCTCATATAGTCATTTAAAGTCATTTATATAAAAAGGTGAGATAGCCACTCTTTCATTAAAATATCATAACTTTTAAGCAACTAGACAGATTAAGTTATCGAAGGTCAAATCTCGTCAAATTTGGATTAACTTGACAGAATTTTCATAAGAAAGTAGTGAAACTTGCTAATAAATAGCGAGTGGTGCTATTGAATGATCCTTATGACTCATGTAATAAGCGCCCCAGCTTGCTACATTATTCGATTTTCAGGCAGAGGATTTTTTAAATAGTAATATTACTTTTCATGAAATTGAAAATATTGCCATTTTTTGAGCCGAAAAAACCTGAGCAAATAAGTTAGACCTGTTTCATTCCAAGAACGAAATTGAGCTTAAATGCGACTTTTTAGATTTTTTTGTTCAGGAGAAGACTTTTTTCTCCAAAGGGGTCTTTGTGAAGGGGCTTCTCCAATAGCGAAATTGACTGTTTCCTCTAATACGCAGGTTAAGTTTCGGAATTCCCTGTTCATAAGATACCTAATGTACTAAACATTTTTACAGATGGGAAGCGTGATGGTGCTTCCCCTATTACTACTTGCATAGAAAATGACTTCATCGCTGAATCTTGCTATCAGATGATTAACGACTAAATAATAATTAATGAAAGAAAAACCCAATAAATTGTTTCCTTAAATCTAAGAGGAAAAAATAAGAAAATATACATTAAATGATGCCACTCGGAGTATCATTCCTCGTGTTCCATTTTCCATTCGACATACAATTTCAGTCTCTTTATACCTCACAGAAATTACAGGTATGGAACAGAGATCTTCACCACCGCAAGGTGGGATCAACAAATTAGGAGCTTTGAGGAAATGCTTACAATAGTTTCTGATGAAGTTCTTTAGTAATGGTGATATCTCGAGTAGATTCTGACTTCTAAATTCAAACTTTGAGGGAGGTGGATGCTGAAAGTGTCTCACCTGTTGGCAGTGATTTGAGGGTATAAACACTTATTGTTGCTATCAACTCCTTCCTCCGATTCCCTGATGAACTGTCCTTCTCTTCGGTAGGCTCGTATGGAAGAGATGCCAGACACAGTCTCTCCAAAATGTGAATAGATAGGTGACCTCCACACAGATTCAAGTCTTTTCAATTGCCGTGATGTCGAGACATACATATCCTAAGGGTGGAGAAGTAAAGACACACGAATTTTAACGCAATAGTTCTAAATCAATGCTCTTCATCCTTCTTTCACCTGGGCAATGTAGTAAGCAGTATTAATGGGAATGACTGCAACGAGGAACCATGGGACAGTGTAGGCAATAATTACAAGGGCGCCAAATACCTGTAAAGAAAGGAAACGGTGCTAAAATCTTGCCAACTTAAGGCTAATGGATAAACTCATTTCTAACGCTTTACCTCGAAGGCACATCTGATGGTTTCTTCCAAGAATCGAGCTATGCCTTCATCCACAGCTGAAACATCCTGAGAAAATCGGTTCAGAATTCTTCCCATAGGATTTGTATCGAAGAATTTCTGAGAGCTTCTCAGGACGTTCTGGAGGCAGTTGCGATGAAGTATCCGCGCAGCCTTACAAACCAACAGCCACATCATCAAGGCTGCTAAGGCATACACACCAGCTATGACGACGGACGTAGGGGTAATAACCACTCACTGAAGCCGTATGCTTCATAACTGAGGCGATAATTGTATATAATTGTATAATTGTATGTCTGAGACTCACCGTGGGAGAATCCAAGCCCCACGTATACTGAGAGGTATGAATCCCTCTGTGGGGCGTCAATGGTTCGATTCAGAGAAGCTTGATCAGCCCATTTGGATAGGGCCATATTGGAACTCATCAAAAATCCTTCACTAATCCCATACATGAGAATCATGACCAAAGACAAGGACAGTCCCATGCTCTTTAGGAAGTACACATACACGTGCCACTTCACCTGGGTGGAAATTATTTTTCTTTGTCATATATGGAGCAACGGAATTAACATTAGAGATGATTTTTCAAAATGAAAATCATTAGAGATGATTTTCAGATTAAAAAACTAACCCTTCCTTTTTCTGCCGTTTCATCCTCAATTATTCGCCCATCAGCAGCACCATTTGGTACGTTGCTTTGTTCGCTTTTTTCTTTCTGCGCCTGACTGCAATGAAAAAAAACAACACGGGAAACTAACAATGAACTGAAGGCAAAAGAGATGTGATACAGGGCAATTGTTAATGACTTGCCTTGCTGGAGATGATTTTATACTTTCACTCTCTGAAAGCTTCGATTGTTTTTTTGATCTCTCACGGCAAATAATCTTTTGTCCTGTGATATTCTCAAGTTCATGTTTGATCTCCTCTATATCATCTTCTGCAGCAATAGCGTGGTAAATAAGTGCTTTTACCTTCATTAAATCCCGAGTGGGAGCAATACTAATACTGATTGGAAGGACATACCTTCTGTATCTTCTTCCTCTTGAGAAAGGAATTGAATCATGAACTCAGCGAAGGGTCCTTTCTTCTGAACCAAGTGTTGATAACTTCCAAATTCACTGATTCTTCCGTCTTTCATTGCGACAATGAGGTCCATTTGTGGCAAATGGTTTATCCCATGTGTCACAAGTACTCGTGTCTATGAACAAAGTTTTCAAAGGAATGAATCCAGAAAACATTCTTTTAACTGGTAATAACTTACTTTATTCTTGAGGAGTCCCTTCGGTCCGATGACTGTCCGGAAGATTTGCTTTCCTACATGACTGTCAACAGCACTAAGAGGGTCATCCATGAAGTAAACATCTGCGTCACTGTAGACTGCCCTCGCCAGACTCACTCTTTGTTTCTGTCCTCCGCTCAAGTTTATGCCCTGAAGGAAAAAGCTGTGTCAACCACAGTGACCTGTGAAACGCAGAGTTTATGGTGAAATGCCAAACCTTTTCCCCGATTTCAGTCATGTCACCTGCTGGTAATATTGTTAGATCTTGTTCCAGAGCACAAGCAGATAGAATGTCTTTGTAGAATGTCTCGTCATATGTTTTCCCAAAAATCACATTGTCCTTGACTGACGCATTACGAATCCATGCCTCCTGAGGGACGTAAGCCACCTCCCCCTGTGAAGAAAGTTAGGTAAGGGTATGAGGGTTCTTACAGTTCATTGTACCTGAGAGGGTGCTTAGTGTTCTTCAACAATAGGTCTTAAATTAAGACCCGATTGAAAGCCTCAGAGCCAAAAGCAACTTCAACTTTGTATTAATTAGGGGAATCATGCTCTTCAGGGAGATTTAGATGATACGGTAAAGTAAAAACCATTCCTCGCCGATTTCTGAATATGGAAGCACAAAGAGCATATCACATCAGGAACATTTCTTGGAGGGTAAACATCAACAAGAAAGTATTTGGACATGAATTTGCTCACTGGAAATCACGAGCATCAATTTTCAACGAAAATATACTTATTACTACTTATATATCATGCAAAAAAGAAACTGCAGATTTGTCCAGTTCCAGTACGTTATAGGTGAAGTTCAAGAATCTAGAATTAGGTCCACATCCAGGCTAGATGCTATACTGTATAACGGTAGAGTCGTGGAGAGACTGAAGTCAAATATATCAATGTATTTTAGTCTTGCTTCTGGCGGCACTGTCTTACTGTCATACGTATTCAAAAGAAATGTGTTCCCAGGAAGAGCGCACCAGTTTCTGGTTCACCGCCATTTATCCGATTGCAACTTCGAAGAGTTATTGCATTTCAAAGAGTGATCTGCATCCAAGTTTTGCAGAAATATTCCATGTAAATGTGAGATTCCAAGAGTGGAGAAGCTATTTACTCACGCATATTCGATTGAAGATATTTACATTAAAAAGAACAGTCACCGCATTTTGGTGCTGGCATGAAAACCCACCTCCTTGAATGTGACATCGAAACCTCTGAAGCAAAAAAGGGCGTTAGCCTACCATGACGTTAACTACCCCCGAGAGTTTCTCCATGTCACCAAGGAAGGATGAGAGGAGAGAGGATTTTCCGGAACCGACTTGGCCAACGATTGCAACCAACTTCCCTGCTGGAATTTGTAGATGAATGTCCTTCAAGACTGGTGGATCTTCCGGTGCCCAGGTGAATGTTCCATTTTCGATCAGGGCTGCATATTCATCATCTGTGAAACCCGTTGCCTTCATTGTCTTTCATTGATACTTCATGCCCGCTGTCGTGAAATCTGGGTAACACCTACCAGCACTTGATTTTTGGTTGCGCGATACATTGTCGGGATTCAATTCATGAGCATTCATGAACTTGTTGATCCTCTTGACGGACACCATGGTCTGCAAAGAAGTCAACCTGCGATCAATCAGATATCCAACAACGAGTATTGGGCAAATGAAATGTACCTGAACAACTTCAGAGGTGAGATAAGGCAAGTGAGTTAGTGGAATCCGAATGATGCGCAAGAGGCTCAATGACACAAAAGCCGTGGAAGCATCTAGGATGTGCGCCGAGTCTATCAGCACATAAGTAGCCAGAGATGCCAGGCCTACCTAGCAAAGAAAGTGTAACAGAAAATGAAGACGACTCTGAACTGAGACCACCCTAATGAAGATCAATACCATGAACGGTGTGAAGGTCCAGAGAAGTGAGCTGATCGATCCCAGATACGCTTGCTTTCGAAGCAATTGGATCTCCCTGTCTCGTATGCCCATGATGCGGCCCTGGAATGGCAGCTCCCACGCATACAGTTTCAGTACCTGTTGTGGACGTGGAACAAAGTCCCTTCAACACTATTTGATAAATGCATATACATGCGAAACGTAAATATTTTTTCGGCACCTTGATGCCATTGAGGACTTCACTCATGAGCTTCACTCTTTCGTCCTTCTCCTTCATTCTTTCTACTTGGAATTTCCGGATCCGGGCAGCAATCAGGCCGTTGAGGGGAACTGCAACGAAGATCACTCCTATTCCTGCCAAAAGGGAGGGACCTGAAAGAGCAAGCCATGTGTGAATCACTTTCATGGGGCAGTCAAGTAATTCACTGATTATGAACCTGAAATTAGTCAATCGTGCAGTGATACCGAGCTGAGCCCAAAGTAGATAGAAAGCGATTGCAAGTTGGATGGGTAGAGTAAGAACCATGTTCAAATGGAATGAAATGTCCAAGAATCTTTTGGCGTCCACGGACATCAAGTTGACCATCTCCCCAACTGTGGATTCCTTACGAGCAGCCGATGACAAACGCAGAGACTAGTAGAAACCATCGGAATCCATTTTGATCTCATGCATGGAATGAACAGAATGGAACATTAGGAAACTGGAGAACTGGATTAACATGAATATGCGAACCTTTTTATAGATGCTAGCAATAAGAGCCGTTCTCATCTGCATTCCTGTTAACCTTGACATCTGATACGAAGCCGCGTAGGAGAGTGCCTGCAGGATGGCCGAGAGAAGCAACCCGAGAGCATAGAAACAGCCCTGCCACACCGGAGCATTTTCATCCACGAATGAGATCATCTGACTGGAAAGAAAGACCACGTGACATGCTCCAGTCACTGCAAACGCCCAGGATTAAACTTTAAAGAAGCAATCGGGAGAGATTGTACCGGAGTAGCAATGGATTTGCGAAGGCTATCATGTCTCCTAGGAACAGGAGGAATCCACTGATGAGAAATGGGGTTCTGTATGTCTTCCAGAGAGGACGCAAAATGGAAATGTTTCTTCGTTTATGAATAATTGGCACGTCGTCCTCCTTTCTTCATAAACCAAAATCATGGAAATTCAAGTATATGACATGTTAACCAGCTCTTTGAATTCATTTACTCGGAGAGATATATACTTGTGGGAGACAGTTGATTCGCCCGGGGCCAACATGTTCCTGCTGAAGTCTGCAACAACGTTTTGAGACGTGTGCTCAGGGTTAAGTTCCCAGAGGTTATTGAAAGTGAGCGGGCTCTTCCAACCGAGCCGTATGAGTCCCGTGAACCAGGAATACCAAATCCGAGAGAGGAAAGACGCTTGTCCCTCAGGCGAAGAGTTCTGAGGATCAGCACAGACAGTGAACGAATTCAAGGAGGATCAGCACAGACAGTGAACGAATTCAAGGATTCCAAGGGACTATGGCGAGACATCACCTTAGAAATGCCTGTCATTCGGGAAGAAACGAGCGGCGTTTCCGGAAGGCAGTGCAGCAAAAGTTCAGTCGAGATGAGCGGGAATTCAATCATGGTGGATACAATTCCGAATGACATTCCAGTTTCATTCCTCTGTAAAAAGAAGAAAAGGGGGAAGGGAGGGGGGGGGGGGGAGACTCGGTGGATCAGATACGATTCCGATCTGGCTCTGAGTCCGAATATGAATTTTAATATAGGCGCACGAAGGGTTTTAGGGAAAAAGTAGAATTGCTGTTGGGTTCGGATGAGCTTGTTGGCTCCTATGGCCTTAATGTACTCCCCGTTTTTCATATTTCCCAAGCATCATTCAAATTTCCGCATGCTTTTCAGACTGTAAATATGGATACGTGTAATGCCTTCATTTTGTTGTTTTTTTTTATAGGAAAGGCTCGGATACTATCAACTCGATTGGAACGGGCCAGACTGAACACGTACCGCAAGCAAGGCAATCCAGAACCGTCAACTGGGAGATTTAAAGGAAGGAACGAGAAAGGGAGAGCGAGTGGAACCATCCTCGAGGTTCCCCTTCTGACAGGAGCACGGCACGAGATTCCCAGTCGGAGAATTCCTTTAGTTACTTGCAGACTGATTATTGTGGATATTTCTCCTTGGGGGAGGGATTTGATAGGCATATCATCCGGGGAAGTTGCAATCTGATCTTGGGGAATCAACGGCAGGGATAACGCGATGCGTACGTTTAACTTTTTATTTCTGACTTTGAAGGGGAGAAATATATGAAAACGGATCGAACTTGCATGTTCATTAGTCGTCTTTATTCAATAAATGTTTCCACGCCTGATATTATGTTGAATAATGTTGAATGTGCTTGTCCCCGAGAAGGAGTGAGGGGAAGAAACCGAAGATGGAAGACTGCCTTGGCAGTTATTTGACTCCTTCAAAGGGGAGATGACAGCCCACCCTTAAAACATAAACAAAAGGCCAAATGGATCCGGGCATGTGGTGTGTGAAAGGCGACGAATCATTTCTTATGTACCTATCCCCCAATTTCAGTGAGTTTCGTTTCAAATTTAATTGAGTCACTTTCCGAATTCTCGTATCTTCAAATTGCCATCCCGGTGGAGGAATTGACAGTGCTGGGGATTACTTTGAAAGTGACAATATTCCATTGTAAAACTATTCCAAATTTCAGGTCAGTGAACCCGTAAATTTTAAAATCACTTAATGAAACGTGAAAATTGTGCTGCAACCCTCGCACAATAAACGAATAAGACACTGCTTCCTGGTTGCCCTCCGCTTTTCTTTGATCATCCCCACCAGATCGGAAGACATTGCCATCCACCTCGGGACTCCTCGTGGAGTGGGCATTCAAACTCTGAACTTTCTTCTTTTTATTAACCCAAAGGGAGGGAGGGGGGTTACTAGTATGATGGAAAGGCGGGAGAAGCTGTGTTGTTTCTTTTAACAGCGAATTCAAACAATAAACATGAGTTATTAAATGTGAATGGCCGAAGAATACCGGTACGTTGTTTTCAACTTTTTCTGCATCATAAACATCTCAGGTGATTCTTAATCAGGTGGCATGATAAACTAAACTCTAAATCAATGGGGTCTCGCGTCGGTCGTCAAGTCATTTTTTTCTTGTGACAGAATATCGCAGCCACAGTTGACGAAAATGAGTGCATTTAATCTATCGCACAGGACCACTGGTTGAGTGATATATCCCACGGAATTCCTTTACATTCTCATTGGGGAATGTTCACGGACAGGTAGCGCCTTGTTACCATGGCAAGTTAAGTTAAAGGCTAAATAGGGATCTACAGCTTGGGACATTGAAAATAGTGTTTACTTAGTAATGTGAAAACCAATTTTCAATGGCTTTCCCTTTCTGCAACTCCGCCCCTCTACAGGACTCACTAACGTTAGGCCTGGGCCTAACCAACAGAGTGCCTTCAGGTCACGTCAAAGCCCTACTTTTTTCTTTTCAAAAGAAACTCAATTCTCGACTTACGGCACCAATTAGGCCAATAAGGGTGAATCGTGGTCTTCGAGAGATCTGGTTGAGGATGTGGAACGTTAGGCCAATCGCAAGCCTATTCATACTAGCACGAACCATTTCAGAGAAGACGTGTAACGTCAGACCGATTGAAGGCCTGTTTCGGGGAGAGGGGGGTGGGAACGGAATGAAATTCCCACCTCCAAAAACGAGATTCAGTGTTCTCCAGAACCCCTGGGACATGGAGCTTCGAATTTTCTGAAGCGATTCAGTGATGAGAGAGGAAGAAGTATGTCAAATTTCGTTCATGTTGATGCTCTCAGAGAGGAATACGAGGAGGCTGAATTTTGCAACGGTAAGGGATTGAAGAAAGGTAATAGGCGCTACCGGACCTATTGATTTACCTGGAGTCTTCTGCGTAGGGTGATATGATATGAAATTTCAGATGTTGGGCTGCAGGATATCCATCTTCCTCTGCTCTGGGTACAATCTCCACAAGCCTCCCAGGGATCCGACATTAAAATTTTAAAGTTTTAAAAGGTTTTAATGGATTCAACTTCAAAAGTTCCGATAACGAGCCGTGTCAGCTTTTATTCTCATCGAAACACGCTGCTTGTGATTCAGATGTGTGGAAGCAGACCAGCATCCCTTGTTAGGGTTGCGAACAGGGAGTTTGAAGCTTGAAGGAGATTAGTTGGGGAGTCAAATTCTTTGATTTCTCCTCCGTCCAATACGAGAACTCTACGAAGAAACGTATACAATTTCATATTGACACCTGATCTTTTAAGAGAAGTCGAGATGGAAATTGTTTACTGTCTCACCTATCGTAGTCCATAATTGTGTTGATACGATGGGCAATAGTGAGAACTGTATAGCTCTGGAATTCTCTCCGAATGGTATTCTGAAATGCAAGTATCAGTGTCAATCTTAAAGAGGACGACGTGGGAAATTTGTCTTAATGAACATCCTGTTTTGTTTCTTGAATTTTACTGCTTTATAGTGAACATTCGATAACTCGAAATTAAAGGGAAATTCAAGCGGACGAAAACGCGTGTTTTGTTGGTTTATTAGATTATATACACTAAAAATTTACATAGACGTAAACAGTATTTAAAAACAAACTTGTAATACCTACCCCTGTTAGCATAATGTGAAGCATGACAAATATTAGCCTACCTGTATAAGTTCGTCTGTTTCCAGGTCGACGGCAGCTGTTGCCTCATCTAGAACAAGGATTCTACTCTTTCTTAGAAGTGCTCTTGCAAGGCAGATGAGTTGTCTCTGGCCGACGCTGGAAGGGGAAACGATGAGTTTATGGCAGACGTAAGATGCAATGCATGCAAAGATATCGGTTTACACGGGAGCCTGCCAGTATACCTGAGGTTCTGTCCTCCTTCTGCAACAGAATGTTGAAGTCCCTGCGGAAGTCCCTTCACAAACGCTTTGAGGTGAGACAACTCCAATGCCCTCCATACTTCCTCATCGGTATGCTTTTCAAAAGGATCCAGGTTTGTCCGCAGGCTCCCCGAGAACAACACTGGGTCCTATTTACACATGAATATTGTATCAATCGTGTGGTGCCGCTTACGGCGCAAAGATACCCTTTTTCCTCATTCTCTGACCTGTGGGATTATTGTGAGATGTGAGCGTAAGTCATGAAGTCCGATTTGACTGATATCGATTCCGTCTATTCTGATCATCCCACCTGCCTTTTCGATGATCCGAAAGAGCCCCAGCATGAGTGAGGACTTCCCAGCCCCTGTCCTACCCACCAAACCAACCTGACATGGGTTTGGAAGGAAAAGTGGAGAAGATAACTTCATTTCGTGATGACTTAATTTCTTCGAGTTGTGTCGAATTCAGTATTTAGTACAGGTAAAAGAAGAATGTTTGAGCGCATGGAAGGGGCGAATGAAAACTTTACCATTCTCGTATTGCCATTATTATGGATGCCATTAACATAACTTCATCACAGGATTACAGACAAAAAATTGATCCCTCTAACTGAAGGATAAGCAGGATCTGTCATTTTGATGCTATATTGTAGAAATAAATACTTTTTCAAAGTACAGGAGCAACATATCAGCTGGAAACTTGGGAGTTTCCGATCTTAGTTTTCACCAAGTTTAACTGGTATATTTTATATTTCAATGGAAGAAAAGCTAAACCGCTCTCTTAAACCTTACCTAGTGCTATTCACTATGTGCCACGACACTAAGAACCAGCTCGATGATACGAGCATCTATTATGGTTCTCACAGGGGCTGTCCAATTTCTAGTGCCGCTATTTCCATGCAAAATGCCGCCAACTGTGAAAGCCTTCATAATGAACCTTTACTTCGTCGGTAAAAGAGTCCCCGACTTAATTGCTTGGACACATTTGATGGAACTCTTCGAACTACCAAAAAATGATGTATAATGCTAGAATGAAAGAGATCAAGGTAGGTAGGCTTTGTACAAAGTTAAATGATGGCTGTGCCTAGTATTATTTCCAATAGCTCGTCAGTCCACCTAATTGAGACCGCTACTCCAGTGATAGGAACGCCGGAGGGCGTCCAAGGCTTGCTTAAACGATAAGATGGAGATTAGCGGTCTAGCCAATGAAAGCAAATGGACACGATGGCTTATTCTTGCATGGATTCGTGAATGTTTCATCCAACATGTGTCACAGTTGTCATTCATACCCCTTTTTTCTATCACTCTCTGTGTACACGAATGGCCAGTCAACCTTTTCATGAAACTCTATTTGCTCACCTTCTCTCCACCGCTGATTTCAACGGAGATTCCTTTGAGGACTAGTTCCAAACCGTCTCGATATCTTGTCTGGTAATCTCGAAAGCAAATAGTTCCTTCCTGAGGCCAGTCACCCTTTGGCTTCTTTTCTGGGATCTCCCACGGGGCCTCGACTGGTGTCTCACAGTATTCTTTGATCCTCTCGACGGCCACAATGTTTGTTTCTACCTCAGCCACCATGCGCGCCAACGAAGTGAAGGTTCTCGAAGCCTGGAAATAAACGTCGTAGGACATGGGTAACGTATCTGCTCATCATGCATATTTTATGATGGTATGGTAAAAGAAACTAACAGACATTGCATAGGTAATGCACAAACCGGCCATGGCAGGGCTCAGGGAACCCCTTCCAAACACAGCAAGAAGAGAAGATATGAATGTTATAATGCCACCAAGTGCTTCGAGTCGGACTCTCAGCCAACTGCAGGAAATATAAAGGGCGTATGATGAAATTTATTTTATTTTTTTTAATGGTGGGACATGCATAAAACGTTTGGCTTGATTAATTAGAGGTTCTTTATTGATTAATCGAGCAGTCTTCATCCCGCATCTCTTATTAAATCTAAGAGGACAGCAGCATTTCAAGAGAAAAATCATGAGAGCAATTAAATATCCATCTATATCAGACCTAAGATGCAGTGACATTTAAATAATGTGATATTAAGAGAATTGGAGCTTGGCGTATTTCGGCTACTTTGATACCTTTATAGGTGGAATGATTTTTCATTTCAAAATGTTTGATTTAGCAGGTCTAATTCTTTAGGTTATGGGTTGCTGATGAGTTTCTAACCTGGCGGCTGTGATTTGAGGAAATTGACACTTATTATTGCGATCGACCCCTTCCTCTAATTCGTTGATGAACTGTCCCTCTCGTCCATAAGCGCGAATGGAGGAAATCCCGATCACAGTATCTCCAAAATGGGAATAGATCGGGGATCGCCATACAGATTCGAGCCTTTTCAGCTGTCGTGCTGTTGAGACATACAAGTCCTGGGAAAAGGCAGAATGCACAAGCTAGAAATCGTGGGGGAATAGGTGTTTTGAACATTATGCCGGGAACATTACGCTAACCTGTGCAAAGTAGTAAGCTGCGATGATTGGGACAACAGCAACGAGGAACCATGGGACGGTGTAAGCAATGATTATTAGGACACCAATGACCTGTAAGGATAATGAACGCCTCTTAAAAGGCAGTTTTAGGAAAAGCGATGATCATCTGAAATCTGACGTTTTATCTTACCTCAAAGGCACAACCGATGACATTTTCCAAGAATGGAGCAATGCCTCGGTCCACATTTGAAATATCTTGGGAGAATCGGTTCAAAATCCTTCCCACTGGATTCCTGTCGAAGAATTCTTGAGAGCTTCTGAGGACATTTCGAAGACAGTTGCCATGGAGTTTACGCCCAGCCTCACAGACCAAAACCCATAGCATTCCTGAAGCCAGGGCAAAGGCAGCAGCTATGACGAAGCATAGACGCATTATCACCGCTGCACTGGGTATTACATGTGAATTACAGGACAGACTTTCGTCTATGCGAGGCTCACCGTTGCAGAATCCGAGCGCAGTGTATACTCCGATGAATGCATTCTTTTCCGAGGAGCTCGTGGTATGATTCAGAGTGACTTGATCAGACCATCTGGAGAGTACCATGTTGGAACCCATCAAGAATCCCTCACTGATTCCATACATGAAGATCATTACTAGAGACAGGGAGAGGCCCATGCTCTTCAGGAAATATGCGTACACGCGCCAATGCACCTGAATGGAGAATCATTCTCAAGTGAAATTTGTAGACTTCACATGAACTTCATTCACGATATCTAGACATTATTCGCCTACCCCTTTTCTCTCGGCAGTTTCCTCTTCAATGAGCCTTCCTACATCCGAGCCAAATGATACCGCACTCTTTCCTCCTCCTCCTTTTGGTTCCTCACTATAGTGTACACAAACATATACGTACCGGTATGAAAACATGAGATCCCACACACGCGGAACGCGCAACAATGAACGCACAAAGAGAAACAGGAGAAACGAGGAGATTTAGCTGGAGAGATGGAATACGATCAGGAATAACTTGCATTGTTTGAACCGATTTCAGTTCGCTCTCAGAAAGCTTTGAGTGCTGCCTCGATCGTTGCCGACTGAAAACCTGCCCTGTGACTTTCTCGACTCCTTGCTTCAACTCCTCCAACTCCTCTTCTTTATCAATGCATGAGAAGCAAAGGTTGAGGTGATTAGACTGTGTGATGATGGGGAATAGAAAGGGATGAGTCTAAAGACAGACCTTCGGAAGCATCCTGAGAGAGGAACTGAATAATGAAATCCGAGAAAGCTCCTTTTTTCTGAACCAACTGCTGATAACTCCCTGACTCAATTATTTTCCCATCTTTCATCATGATGATGAGGTCCATTTGTGGGAGGTGTGTTACTCCATGGGTCACAAGCACTCTCGTCTACGAATCAATCGAAGTCTTCCTTGTATAATACAATAAGTACAGAACTTGAAGTTAACCTACCTTGTTCATAAGCAGTCCCTGAGGTCCGATGACTTGCTGGAAGATGTGCTTTCCCACATGACTGTCAACAGCACTGAGAGGGTCATCCATGAGATAAACATCCGCATCACTGTAGACTGCCCTGGCCAGACTCACTCTCTGCTTCTGTCCTCCACTCAGATTAATGCCCTAATGTGAAAAGGTCACCTGTCCATTTATCTTTTTACAAGCTGGGTTACCCAGCGTTGCCCGGGATATTTTTTAGGAGTAATATTTAGGTTGGGTAGTTAGGGTGGTGTGGTAGTGCTGAGTCAAATACTGACCCTGGCCAAACAGTACTTGACTTGTGGCTTCTTGAAGTAAGTTGTAGACTACTTGAAGTGTCTTGGCTTTGTTGAAGGGGGCCTTATAGAACTTACCAACTTCACTGTGGATGCAAATGAAATTGGTAAGTAAAGGCCAGGGCAGATTTACTACTGTTAGTTAGTCAAGGTAAACCAATTTAAAAAAAATAATTATTGACAGTGATTTCTGTTGATTTTTCAGCAAGCCAATTTTGTTCATTTCTTGACAGTGATTTCTGTCGGGGTGTGTCAGCCAGACTTTTTTTTTTACACCAAACGGGTTCTAGGAACCCGTAGAACCCCAATCCGTTGTCCCTGTCTCCCTAGCTGGAACACCCTTTTTGAGACCCCGAGACCCCCCCCCCCCCCCCCCCCCCCCCCCCCCCCCCCCCCCCCCCCCCCCCCCCCCCCCCGCCCNACAGACCCCACCCTCCTGCGAAGGTTTCAGGTCGATATCTCCAACGGTGTCCGAATGCATAGCGTCAGATGGACAGAGACAGACAGAGATCCTTGCTTATAGAGATACGATGGAATATCTAAGATTTTTCTCTACCTTTTCCCCAATTTCAGTCATGTCACCAGCGGGCAGAACGGCCAGGTCTTGTTCCAGGGCACAGCCCGACAGGATCTCCTTGTAGAATGTCTCGTTATGGGAATTCCCAAACAGAACATTGTCTCTGACTGATGCATTGCGAATCCATGCTTCCTGAGGGACGTATGCCGTCTCCCCCTGTTAGGATCGTTGGGAGGCTTTGTTGCAATGCCCGAATTGCAGCCAGAAATTAACCTGCTCCACATTTTATATAATTTTCGGCATTTATTATTAGTTCATTGTTACTACTGTGAGGGCAGAAATAGAAGGCCAAATTCTTTATTCTTATGAAGCAGGCACCAGCCATGGAAGTAAACTTTGTTTCGAGGTTAATTTCAGGTCATTCATGCTTCGGTACAATGGCTTACTGCCTTTTACTGCCATTTCTGAAATGTTTTGGTAAGATTCTGCTGATTTCCGTAATTAAAATTGTTTCTGATGCTCTTATTGATGCGATAAATAGAATTGTATTCTTGCATCTCGAATGATATTTATATTATGAGAGTTTCAATTCCGAGCTGTTTTGCATCAATAAAACACTGATTGAAGGACAACAGCGCTATGGACAGTTGTAATCTTTGGCTTTCCATTTACGGATCATGCATGTTTATGTTGCTCCATTGCGCGATCGTTGACAGATCCTGAAGAGATGGAGAACGAAAGTCGGGAAATTTTGCGAAAGTCAATTTTCTTTCCCAGTTTCTCGTCACAGAATTCCTTTTGAGTTTTCATGCTGCTTTCGGCAAAGGAAGTTTAAGACGTTATTGAGACAATTTAAAGACATTATTGCTTAGATAACAGGTCTTAGAGAATTTTAGGAGAGAATTTCAGTATACTTTACTCTGTGAATCAATTTCATACACAGATAACATCGAAAGGAAGTGTGGGTTGAGATGCGGAAATTTTCTGAAGGCGTCAATGATAAAGTATTTGCGTATGCACATCTAATTATATTTGTTATGGAATGATGACGCTGAACTTAGACTTAGACCGTGGAGTAAACTTGTGAAGTCCGATATTCCACATATCTTCATGATGATACATGATACATGATACATGACAAAGTTCTTTGAAGAGATTCTTTTGGAATGAAGAGATGAAAAAACAGATAAACACTAAACACAGAGTCTTGTGACAAGCTCAAATCCAATCTTTTCTTAAAGCAAAGTAACAGGCTAATGAAATACAGGCCAACCTTGACATGGACATGACCAGAGACTTTCTCCATTTCGCCAAGGAAGGCCGAAAGTAAAGAGGATTTTCCGGACCCGACTTGGCCAACGACTGCAACCAACTTCCCGACTGGAATTCTTAGGTGAAGGTCCGTCAACACTGGTGGATCATCGGGTGCCCAGCTGAATGTTCCATCCTCGATCAGGGCTGCATCTCTGTTGTCTGTAAAAAAAAAAGAAAAAGTTTATGCTTCCCTTTTTTCGTTGTCACCTCGAAAGTTCCGAGAGGACTGTCGTAAAGAATGCATGACATACCGGAACTTGGATTTCGATCGTGTGATACATTGTTAGGATCCAATTCATGAGCATTCATGAATTTGTTGATCCGCTTGACGGACACCATGGTCTGCAAAACAGTCAACAAAAAAAGTTGAAGCTGACATTCACGCATATGAGCAGCAGGGGCAGATAACACTAACCTGAACAATGTCAGACGTGAGATATGGTAAATAAGTGAGAGGAAGGCGAATGATACGTAAGAGGCTCAGTGACACAAACGCTGTGGAAGCATCCAGAACGTGCTTCGAATCGATCAGCACAAAGGTAGCCAGCGACGCCAATCCCACCTATCAGCGGATTCATCAAAGAAATCGAAGTGACGCTGGAATTCCGCTTAGAAGTGACACCTGGGACGAAGAGAAATACCAGAAACGGAGTGGACATCCAAATCAGCGACGCGGTCGCGGTAAGAAGTGCTTGCTTTCGGAGTAGTTGTATCTCTCTGTCTCGTATTTTCATGATTCGTTCCTGGAACGGAGGCTCCCAGGCATACAACTTCAGCACCTGTGAAATATCATAGATCAACTATGCTTTGTGCTTGAACGATAAATATGTGAGCATCAATGATTCTCTTCATGAGAATATCATTCAGGCGTGGTGCATGACATCGTCCATTTTACTGCATCTCACTATTCCAGAAGCATCCTAAGTATCCTGGTATCCTCTAAGTATCAACTGCCTGCTGGCTATGAAGAATATTGCCAGAGAATATTGCCACATTTCCTTGTGGTTCATACGGGAATGAAGGTATGATGGATTTCCTTGGGAGTTCTTGGGAAAAAGAAGAATTCAGTTGATCGCCACAGGTGAAATTTCCGCCAAATCGGAAGTTTCTCAGAATACAAAATAAAATAAAATGCCATCGCAATTTATTTAGTTATTATAAATAAATGCATTAAAATACTTTTATAGTTTTTTTTTCCCCCGAGAAACTCATATTAAGCGTGGTATATTTACCGAAAGCTAGCAATAGTACGAGATTCAATCCCGAAGATAAATATTGTTTCGAGTGTCATATAACATATGCTAAACTCTACCCTTCATTAAATTTTAGCAAAATCTTCGATAATATTTAGTTTAAAAAATGAGAAATCCGAACGGACCATCTGGACTGATGAATCATTGTTGACATTGGCTCCCACCCGGATATTCTTGGAGTTCTTTTAATGCCCATGATGGTGAGGTATCCGCAAGAATTTTATTTATTTATAAATAGGCATGCTGGTAATTACATGAAATTAATTACGCCGATACGTAACTTTCCATTATTTACCCGCTCAAGATTCACGCCCTCGTTGTAACCCTTGATCTTCCACTTGTAAATGCCTTTCCATCCATAAAAAAAACACTAAACGTTCATCGAAATGTAAAATTTCTGTTTTGTAGCAAATTTGACGTTTGGAAAAGGACAATTCCCTTGTCTGCGTTTTTGTACAGTTGAAACGAATAATCCCTAAATATGAAGATAGAACATTTAGTCGATCGCCTGTAGATTCCACGGTACTTTGCCGACGGAATAGGTTCATGATTCTAATCATTATTTGCCGAGTCTTGTGATGCATCTGCAATTTCGCACTCTTGGCAAACAGCACGTTCGGGTTCTAATGGTGCTAAATAACGTGCCTGAGAAAAGCTCGTCTTAACAGGGACTGTCCTTCGAAAGCTTACATTAGAACAAGTACCCAAAATACCAACCGGATGAGAATGTGAAAATAGACGAAATGACCGTATTAGGCGGTAGTAAGTGTTTTCATCATCACATGATACGATTTTTTCATTACCCGGCAGTAAATGACTATGAATTCAATTACATGAGATACTAGTACAAATTATTATTTGATATGATGCATGCACCACGCCCTGAGCAAATCCTAGAGGAAAAGAGAACCGAAGGAAAAGCTTCGAGCCTTGATGCCGTTGAGGACTTCGTTCGTAAGCTTCACTCTTTCGTCCTTCTCTTTCATTCCCTGGGCTTGGAAGTTCCGGATTCGAGAGGCTATCACACCGTTGATGGGGAGGGCGATGGCCATTACGCCGACGCCGACCAGGATTGAGGGGCCTGTCGACAAGTTTTCATGCGAATGATTATTCATCAATGATTCATCAATGATTCATCGTGAGCTTGAAATGATTCATCGCGAGCTTGAAATGATTCAATCGCGAGCTTCGACGTACCGAGTTGAAGCCAGAGGAGGTAGAAAGCTATTCCGAGTTGAATCGGGAAGGTAATCATCATGTTCAAGTTTGCAGAAATTCCCAAGAATCGTTGTGCATCCACCGACATCAAGTTCACCATCTCCCCTACCGTCCTGTCCTTGCGAGCAGCTGGCGACAAACGCAGGGACTGCGAAAAACGGTGCTAATCCTTAAAACGCACTGTATGGGGTGCGTATTCGAAAACTGCAACGTTGGAGTATGATGGTGAGAACCTTCCTATATATAGCAGAAATAATTGCGGCTCTCATTCGCATTCCACACAATCTGGGCTTCTGAAAGGACGCAGAATAGAAGAGAGCCTGGAGGATGCCGACGAGAAGGAACCCGAGGGCGTAGACGCAGCCTTGCCACAGAGGAGCGTTTTCGCTCACGAACGAGATCATCTGGCTGGAGCGAGAGAGCACGTGACATCCCACGAGAGAGAGGAGGATTCACTTTGGGATGCAGGAGGTCTCACTGGAGGAGAAATGGATTGCCGAAGGCGATCGTGTCTCCGATGAACCGGAGGAAGCCGCTGAAGGCGAATGATGCCCAATATGTTCTCCACAGAGGACCGACGATGGAAATTTTCCTCGTTCGCTCTCCGTCTTCCCTTGCGTTCCTAGGAAACCATCTCGTGCATAAATAAAGGGTTTCATTGTATTTCCCGGCACCTCAAAGCCACGAATGAAAACGCGCTTACCGGCTGGAGACAGTGGATTCTCTCGCATTCTTGTCGAAGTCTGCTACAACCCTCTTCGACGCATCCTCGACGCCGACGTCCCACAGATCGCGGAAGGCGATCGGACGCCTCCAGCCGAGCCGTATGAGATCCGTGAACCAGGAAAACCCAAGTCGAGACAAGGCAGATGCTCTCATCTCGGGACACGGATGCTGCATCAAGAACCCCTTTCAACGACGACGAAAAATATTCTCCCGAGTGAATGAGGGTCCGACTCACCCCGGAAACGGCCGCGATCGTCGAATAAATAGGCGGCGCGTCAGCGAAGCAGTGCAGCAAAAGCTCGCCAGCGATGAGCGGAAACGCAATCGTGGCAGTCACAAATTCGTACGACCCTGGACTTCCTCCATGCTGCGAATCGAGAGTTTTCCTCTTTGCACGTTTCCAATAAAGATCATCCTATTAATAAAATAGATTCACCTCTTGGAAAATGCGAGAGATCTGGCTCCAGAGAGCGACGAAACCCTTGAGGAAGAGCAAGGCCCAGAAGACGAGCAAGATCCCCGACGTGTGAATGCCTCGAGCCTTCTGCATGTACGTGAATACGCACATGAGGACCTAAAAGATCATGCCTTGAATGCTCGTCCTTAACTTGCTTTCAATTAACTTAATTGAGAGCAAGTAATTAATTAATTAATTGCATAGAAGCTGACCATAGTCAGGCCGAGAATGACCGGCGTGAGGTAGAACACCGGCGCCGACCGACCAGCGGCGAATGCGCGGAGCAGATCCGCCGCATACAGCGCCGACAGCGAGGACGCGAGGAACTGGAAAGGAAATGCAGCAAAAAAATTTCCTTGCAGCAGAAATTTCGAGATCTGAGATCGAAAGCGGCTCGAGTTGTTTTCTCTGACCGATGCGGGCGATCGGGAGAAGTGAACAAATTCGTTTCCGAGATCGTGAAAATTATGTTCGGATGCAGTTTCGATGTTTTGTGTTCGGGAGATACCGTTGCATTAAAAATGAAAGGAACCCTTCCACGAGGAGAATATTAATATTAAATATTAAATAAAATTTAATGCGTCTTCGACAAGAATTGACCTACCAGCTTGGAGACGTTCAACCGCGTCCACGGGATGTATTTCCCTCTGCTCCAGAAGAGGGAGCGAATCTCGAAAGCGGCCATGACCCACAGCCACCCACACGGGACCCACACCAACACCGTGCTCTGGAAGCACGGCGTCACGTCGGGGACTTCCGCGTGCCACGTCAGATTCGCGTCCTGAAACGAGATCGAGACGGCTAGGGTTCAGCCTCGACAATACGGAACTTACCAGACGGAAATCCAACCGATCGGCGTCCAAATTAAAGAAAGTTTACATATCGCTCAAATCTGAAGGCCTCAAGCGGAGGAAAGAAGAGGATATTGACTCCGCGGGAAACCCCATTTAGAAAATTTCTGCCGTCTATTTTATTTGCGTCGGCAACTTTGACCAATTAATGATAGGTTTTGGTGGCGGCCATTGCCCATTTTACCGCCGGTCATTACTCACCTTACCGCCGGTCATTACTCACCTTACCGCCGGTCATTACCCATTTTACCGCCGGTCATTACCCATTTTACCGCCGGTCATTGCCCATTTTACCGCCGGTCATTACCCATTTTACCGCCGGTCATTACCCGTTCTACCACCATTCCCCTTCACGAAACAACCTCCTCGCGTCCCCCTCGGAAAGCAACTGGAGGAACGAAATCTCGCATGCCTCTTACCCTTTCAATACGGAATCGCTCCAGCTTATTTGAAGATCCATCGCATTGTTATTAGGGAGAAAACAGAATCTCGTTCTTCGTGTAAATTTCGCTCTTTTTATGGGGGGGGGGGGGGGGGGGGGGGGGGGGGGAGACGTGGCACGCGGAAGTCCCCGACGTGACGCAGTGCTTCCAGAGCACGGTGTTGGTGTGGGTCCCGTGTGGGTGGCTGTGGGTCAGGGCCGCTTTCGAGATTCGCTCCCTCTTCCGGAGCAGAGGGGGGGGGGGAGTTTCGGAGGCGACCAAAATAAAAATATGGACTTGTGAAGCAAGATGTGTGTCAGCTATGCTGTTGATGAGTGATTTTCCGGTTGAAAAGAAAATTAGCTGTTGCGTATTTGAACTCATCGTTTGGGCTTCAGTTCTGTTCTCCAGGGTTGCCAGATATCGCGCTGGAATCATGACTACTTCTGGGTTGGGATCTTCTGTATCGTAGTGTACGATACGCTTCGAAACGGAACAGTGATTAGCGGCGGTCGATCGACGTGGTGGCATGCCACCACGTCGTGGCACAAGGATGCATGCCACCACGTCGTGGCATCGTGGCATGCATGCCACGACATCGGTCACTGACATCCCTGAATTACCAGGATGACGCGCATTGGAACTTGGGATGGCGGTCTGAGCGCAGACCTTTTCGAGACGTTTTCGAGAAACTCCAGATGGGTCGTTGCCGAGAAGTCTCGAAACCCCGCGATTGACCCCTATTGGCCGATTGGCCCCTATTGGCCGATTGGCCCGTAGAGACGCATGCTTCATGCCCATTTTCGTTTGATGACGGCTAACTACCGCGAGAGAATTATCGGGAAGATTAACGCTCTCAGCATTCGTTGGAAGCGTGTTACAAAATGGGCTTCATCCTTGAAAACTTCCGCGATCATGAGAATCTATTCAGGAAGTTTTTTTTTTTTCCACCAAGATTCCGTCTTTCCAGAGCAGTTTCGATCCGTTTTTTTTCCATGGCCACTGAAATATCTAAACGCTTGAATCACATCAATAGATAAATATAAATTTCTGGCAATTTCAGCAGAGTACCTTAATAAAATATGTATGCTTCGGAGAAAAAAATTAAGCAATTTTTAAGCAATTTTTTTAGCAATTTTTTTAGCAATTTTTTTTAGCAATTTTTTTTTAGCATTCCTCATCGCAGAAGGGAGCGGGAACCGTCCGATGAAGTCGATGGTCGCGATCCACCATCGCCTTGTAATGGTGGAACGCATCGCATAATTAATGGTGGAATGAAGAGGATAAGTGCCTGCTTCGATCGGTGTTACTCGGCGCTTTCACCTGGAACGGAACGAGACAAACCGGTTTTTCTGGAAGGTTTTTCCTCTAAAAAAAAAAAAAAAGGGGATGAATTGAAAATTTGTTTATCTTATTGGTTTTCTCTCTCCCTTCCCATCCATTAAAATCTAAGTCGAACTACGTTTTACTGCAATTGAGAAGTCGAAGATCATTCTGTCTTTAAAATTATCAGCGGGAAGGCGGTTTCCGAAGAGAGAGAGAGTTCATTTATTGCAAATTATTAATATTCAATAAGATTGAATAATATTGAATAATATTCGTCATTTTCGCATGTCTCGACAGCAGTGGAAGGGATCCGAGACGAGATCCAAGGAATTGCTTTTTTCATTGACGCTTTCATAGACGCGTGCCTGAGCAAAGTGCCTGAGCGTACGCGTCTTCGTGGAGGAAGAAACGTCGATTTTCTTGCAGCGATTTTCAAGCAAAAAAAAAATATTTACTTCATTTTTTAGCCTCATGTATTTCTCCAAGGAATGGACTGATTTACAAGAGAATGTTAAACAGATGTACCTGCATTTTCCCCCATCGTTTCGTTCTATTTTTTTTTTAAATTCGACTTAGGAATTTAAAAAGTAAAATGCGAATTTAAAAAGTAAAATGCGAATTTAAAAAGTAAAATGCGAATTTAAAAAGTAAAATGCGAATTTAACATTTAAAATGCAAGACAAGTATAATCCCGAAATTAAATTTTTTAGCCTCCCCGTACCTCAAAACACCTTGAGACGCCCCCCGCCAGAAATTCCCAGCTCGAACAAAAAAAAAATACTGTGAACTGTAAAAGAAAAAATACTCGCCCAGAACGGAGACTCGCAATATCCGCGGAGCGCATCCATCCTCCGGAAAGCGAGGATCGTCGCAAGGAGGCCGGAATCACGTGGAAAGCGAGGCCGTGCCTCCTTCCAGGACTGTGGAAAGCGAGGCCGTGCCTCCTTCCAGGACTGGCGATGGCCTGCAGCTCCGCGAGAAAAGGATCCATAATTTCTCAGGTTTTATTCCAGTCGCGTCTCGAATCCCCTCCCGTATATGGACTTGGAAGCCGGTTCGTCAGGTCTCGTTCAAGATTGCAGTGACTTGTGGTCACACTATTTATTTTATTTATTTCAGTCGGCAGGTGCTAATTTGTTTATCCGGACTTGGATCGGGAATCGATCGGTCGCGACTCGGTTTGAAATCTCTCGCCGTGGGGAAACTCGGTGGCGACCGTGCAGGGAGGAGGCAACTGGCAACACGACGAGTTGCGATTCACCTGAGAGAGTCTGGAGTCCGATGGAGACACTAGGGACGAAGTGGAACGAAATGGTTGCTGCGCGCGAAGGCAAGGACAATAAAGGACAATAAGAGCTCTCAAAAGTTTCTTCATTCGCGATTATCCCATTCCCTTTCCAATCGAGGATGTTAAGGTTCGGATGCGCATGTCTCGCATTCTGCGCGTGGAAGAGAAGAAGTTATTGAAATTTTCACATTTTTTCCCTTTTTGTGGAATTCGTGGAGAAAGATCGTGCACCGTCTGGAAAGTATCAATATTTGGGACTATTTCTATTCATACCATCTGGGTATGGTTCTGCAAACCTTAACCAAAAGCCTGTGAAGTCGTTGGACGCACGTCGAACGTCCAGAAAAACGTCCATACGTTTCGGGCTCGCATTCAGCGTTTTTTTTTTCAAGAGGAATCGCATGATGGGGTTCCCATTACGAATTGCCAACGGGGAATGACGTCGCAAAAGAGTACCACTTTTTGAGCCAGATCATTTCTTTGCGGATCTGCGTGAATATTTTAGTTTAAAAAAAAAATAGACTAAAAAAAAACTATGATGGCTCATGTCACTGTATTGAAAAGAGGGATAAAATGTGGCATCGCTTCATCAACTGATTCCCGCGTCCCTCGTTAGGGCCAGGAACATGGACTCCGAATCGCGGAGGAGATTGGTCGGCGAATCGAATTCCCTGATTTCTCCTCCGTCCAGGACCAGCACCCTGCGAGTGAAGTCACGTGACATTCTCATTATGCCTCATTATGCCTCATTATGCCTCATTATGCCTCATTATGCCTCATTATGCCTCATTATGCCTCATTATGCCTCATTATGCCTCATTATGCCTCATTATGCCTCATTATGCCTCATTATGTAAAATTACCATTTTACATAATGGGTTCTTCGTGCAGTCGGCCATCTCACCTGTCGTAATCCATGATGGTGTTGATACGATGCGCAATAGTGAGGACTGTGCAGCTCTTGAATTCCCTGCGAATTGTTTGCTGGAAGGAAGGCGCCAGATTAATTAATTAATTAACAGGAAAATAAATATTCATTGAGGCATTTTTCTCGTCGTTTTTGTCACTTTTCGTATTCGAAGATTTGGATGACGAGAGAAATGGCGTTAAACTTTACTTTAGCTTTGAATATATTATAGGACTGTAGTTAAGAATAGGGGGAGGGGGAGCTGATAGCTAATTGTCAATTAAATACTAGGGTCCATGATAACATTTTCGATATCTGCTTTTTTTATTACCGTGGGCTAAACTTGCTGCAACTCCGACTCCGAAAAATTCCAGTTACTTCTCGCGAAAGAGAGGGTATTAAAGAATGATGAACGAGTTGTTATTATTTTTGCTTCTTTTCCTGGTTATGATCATTGAATTCTACTTGGTCTTGGGTGACGTCACCGACGACGTCATCGCATCACAGCGACGAATTGGGTGAAACGACACCAGCTCACTTGAATGAGTTCGTCCGTCTCGAGGTCGACGGAAGCCGTCGCTTCATCTAGAACAAGGATTTTACTCTTCCTCAGCAGCGCCCTCGCAAGACAAATGAGTTGTCTCTGGCCGAAACTACGAGAGAAAAGAGAGAGGAATTTTTTTCTCCCGCGTAGGAAGCAAAGAATTATCACATTAAAGTATTATCATACCTGAGGTTCTGACCTCCCTCTGCCACAGGATGTTGAAGCCCCTGTGGGAGTTCCTTCGCAAAGGCCTTGAGGTGCGACAGCTCCAGGGCCCTCCATATTTCATCGTCGGTGTGCTTCTCGAACGGATCCAGGTTGGCGCGGAGGCTTCCGGAGAACAGCACAGGGTCCTTTCATCCAAGCGAATATTAACGGCATGAATCAAGCTGGAATTTCGGCAGCGATACGGCATATTCGTTCCATCCCGACCTGAGGGATTATCGTCAGGTTCGAGCGAAGATCATGCAGCCCCATTTGACTGATGTCAATGCCATCGATCCTGACCTCTCCCCCCGCCTTCTCGATGACACGGAAGAGCCCCAGCATGAGGGAAGTCTTTCCGGCGCCTGTTCGCCCCACGACACCCACCTGGCGGGAATGTGGGACGAAATCAACGGTGGTAATTTTATCGTCATAATTACCACGCCAAAATGGGAATCATGGGAAGTGAATGACATCATTAACTGCTCCAGCGTTATTTCCTCACTGCACATTTTTTTTCAGTCGTTTGGATTATGATATGACTTGACTACGTTACGTTATGCTTCGTGATGAAGCATAACATAACGAAGTTCTTATGATACTGAAGCTTATTCTCCTGTTTTTATTGTTACAGAAGCCACCCAGCCAGTTTTATTAAAGATTAATTCTACTCTCCAGGCCTTACTCAACTAAATGGCAAGCATCGGACCAACATTACTAATAAAAGGCGTGCAATGAACGGCCCTAAAAAAAATTGGAAATCGCAGGAATTTAAAATTTAATTAATTTTTGTTGCGAGAGGTACATCACCGCCTCATTGTGAAATATGGAATATTCCAACCATGCATGCTTAAAAGTTTATGGAACGCGATTCTCGCAAGGAACTCCGTGTCTTTTGTTCCAGGATGTGCCTTGTATAATGGTGTCAGCGAGATTGGGAGGCTCGGTGAAGGCTCCTCGTATGACCCTGATGAATCGTGAATTCACGGATCAATTCCTGTGCCGATGAAAAAAAAATTGAAATCAACTTTCGCACGGCCGATTCACGCAGTGCGGGGAGCACGACGGAAAAAGAAAAGGGTACCAAATGCCTCTGGGCCATATCCAAATTACCCAAAATTTTGGTCCAATAATGGCCCTTGCATGGCATCGCCAGATCATCGGCATTGGCAGCCATGCTTGGCCCATTCATGGCTCAAGTTCGGTAAGCCATTATTTGGTACTTCATTGGCGGAAGATTATTTTTCTTATTTTGGGGTATCTCCAACAGTGGCAGGATTTGTTGGCCCAAAGCCGGTCCGCCATCGTGTACGTTGACTACACCTTGCCCGATACATTCAATACCGGGTATTGATGATATTGCTCCGCCAATATTGCCTCCCATCATCGAACGGAAGGGACGATCCAACGTGCTCATGTTTCAGGGAAATGAAGTTATCATCTAGGTCTCTAGATGGCAGCACGGTCCTCGCTTTTTGCACGGTGCACAAAAGAACCCTTCCTCCTTTCCCTATGATCAACAATTCACAGCAGTACTTAGTCCCTCACCATTCGTTTTCGGCACGTCTCATGAAGAAAATCATTAAAAGCCGCATTTCATCATTCAAAGGATTCAAACCGTATTTATCTCAACATCAGACGAGATATCATGGCTTGGGTCCGTTTTCAATCTGTGCACTCCCTAGAGCACGAAGGGGCGGAGCACTACAATAAATGCACCTTATAGTATGAGGTGCATTTGTATCGTATAAGGCTTATACGATACATGCAGGGAATGACTTAGCTTATCGCATCATGTAATGTCCTCTAAGGCGCGATTCATTAGCCAATATTCAGCCGACGTGATATTTCTATGCTGGGCAACAGTTGGCAGCCAAGACAGGCCGAAGCACAATTGCCAAAATTGTGCCATTCTTGGCTGGATTGCTTGGCCTCCTTCTGGCCGATGAGCCAAGGTCAGACCTCAGGTTATTGTTGGTTACCGAGGAGGACCTGGTTACCAATCACCTCGCCGATGATTTTGCCTTGGTTGATCCAATGAGGCTTCGCAATCTGGGATACAGAAAAGCGATACTTAGTTTGCTCTTACCATTACCTTCTCCATTCCTTATCGCGTCTTTCCCATTTTTTTCTTCGTATTTAATAAATATGATATTGCCAGCATTCTATAGGAAAAATATTGCCAGCATTTTATGATGTTAAAACTCGACATGAGCTCACCTTTTCTCCACCTTTTATGTCGATGGAGATACCTTTGAGAACTAGCTCCAGACCCTCTCGGTACCTTGTCTGGTAATCCCGAAAGGAAATAGTTCCTTCCTGAGGCCAGCCATCCTTCGGTTTCTTCTCCGGGATCTCCCACGGGGCCTCGACTGGTGTCTCGCAGTATTCTTTGATTCTTTCCACGCCCACGATGCTTGTTTCTACCTCAGCCATCATGCGCGCCAGCCAGTTGAACGGTTTCGAAAGCTATATATTAGAATCGGAAATGTGGATTTGATTTTTCTTCGTGGACGTTATGTGGCGTGACGGTGAAAGGAACTGACAGACATGGCGTAGGTGATGCACAGACCAGCGAGGGCAGGGCTCAAGGAATCTCTTCCGAAGACGGCGAGGATGGACGCTACGAATGTTATAATGCCGCCCAGTGCCTCAAGTCGGACCCTCAGCCAACTATAGAGAATGAGAAACGCATATGAAAAACCCTTAATTTCATATTAACTAAAAAGTAAATCTCTCCCAATATCTCTGAAACGTGCTTTTTATGAGGAATTTTTGGTGATGTGTTGCTAAAAGAGTTCGTGGCTAATAATCCATTAATTAGGTACTTCGGAAATAATATTACTCCATCTAAACTAATAATACTTTAGGATTCTGTTCAAAGATGGTAAAGAAAATGTACAATACCGAATGGAATATTATCAGAGATATCAACTGTCTTCTTCTCTTCAAACCAAAAGCGTATCAACTCCATTGGCGATTTCAATTTTTTTTTAAATACAGAATTCAAAGACGTTGGCTCTGAAGGAAAAGGCTGTATTTGTGGGATTTGAAGCAGAATTTTGCGGACGTGATTGCTTAAGAATGGTAAGAAAAATTTTTTGGAAGAAAAAGTGTAGCAATATGTAAGAAAATCCGGACACAGTCGTTTAGAAGATGCGAATGTCTTAAGGGAATGCACCTGAGAGATGTGATCAGCGGATATTGGCACTTGTTATTGTTATCGACGCCTTCCTCTGATTCTCTGATGAATTGTCGCTCTCGTCTGTATGCGCGGATGGAGGAGATTCCGGCCACGGTCTCGCCGAAATGGGAGTAGATGGGGGATCGCGAGATCGCTTCGAGTCGTCGCAGTTGGCGGGCTGTTGAGACGTACATGTTCTGGAGGTGGACGGGGAAATGATCGTTAAAATGTTCATTTTCTCATCAGAATTCTCTTATTTTAGTCACCTGGGCTAGGTAGTAAACAGTGAAGATGGGGACTACAGCCACGAGGAACCAAGGGAAATTATACGCAATCACCATTACGGCGCATATTACCTGCAATGGAACAAAATACCGCAAAATATGGCCTTCCTGGAGACAATTGATGCCGTCTATTTGAATCAGATATTTCCTTACCTCAAATGCACAACTCACTCCATCTTCCATGGGTTGAGTGATGCCTTCGTCCACGCTTGAAATATCCTGAGAGAATCTGTTTAAAATCCGTCCCGTCGGAGTCGTATCGAAGAATTTTAAAGGGTTTCTCAGGATATTTTGGAGGCAATTCCGATGGAGTTTTCGCCCAGCGACGCAAACCAAAGTCCACAGCATGACGGAGGCCAATGCGAATGTACCAGCTACGCCCACGAATCGCATATCGAAGCAGTTCGTTATAAGCGAAGGAACCTCCTTTTTGAACTCATTACACTCACCGTAGCAGACTCCAAGCGCCGTGTACACTCCGATGTGTGCATCTCTTTGGGATGCTTCCATGGAGCGATTCAGCGAGGCTTCATCGGCCCATCTGGAGAGTGCCATGTTGGAACCCATCAGAAATCCTTCGCTGATTCCGTACATGAAAATCGACACCAGGGACAAATGGAGGCCCATGCTCTTCAGGAAGTAGGCGTACACTCGCCACTTCACCTGAAGAGAATTCCTAACAGGTGAATTATGAAATTCGCATAGAAATGCAAATTAAGTTATTCTCATTTTCTTACCCGCCCTTTCTCTGCCATTTCCTCCTCGATGAGCCGACCATTATCTGCGGCAGGTGTTATAGTGGACACTTCCTTTCCTTCGCCTGATCTGTCACTTTAGGGGCAGCAAAATTTGTGCAAGATAAAAAAAAATCTTGAAGCTGTACATCGGAGCATTATAAGAATGAATTTGAATGAAATTATGGATGCCATGCCTGAGTGGAGGTTTCCGTTCGCTCTCAGAGAGTGTTGATTGATGTCTTGTTCTCTTCTTGAGAATAATCTTTTGTCCCGTGACAGTCTCAACTTCGTGTTTGATTTCTTCTAATTCATCTTGAACACCATTATATGCGGATCATTATCATATAATTTTTCTGCTACAATAGTCATTGAAAACAAAAAGGTGGTGGCATCATGGACAGACCTTCTGAATCATCTCCTTCCTCCTCGGAAAGGAACTGGAGGACAAAATTCGAAAATGCTCCTTTTCCTTGAACCAACTTTCGATAAGTTCCTGTTTCTACGATTTTGCCGTCTTTCATCATGATGATTAGGTCCATTTGTGGGAGGTGCGAAATTCCGTGCGTCACGAGTACTCGTGTCTGTGTGAACAAGAACTTCACACGAATACAAAATCTTAAACATTTATGTTTAAGCTTGGTCGACACCTACTTTTTTCTTGAGGAGTCCCCGGGGACCGATGACTTGCTGGAAGAGGTGCTTTCCCACATGACTGTCAACAGCACTGAGAGGGTCATCCATGAAGAAAACATCCGCATCGCTGTAGACTGCCCTGGCGAGACTCACTCTCTGCTTCTGTCCTCCACTCAGATTAATGCCCTTCATGAAAGAAGCCGGAGTGTAAGATTGTCTGTTTCATGGACCATCAGAGATTTTCCCATTAAATGTCATACTTTTTCCCCAATTTCAGTCATATCGCCAGCAGGAAAAGTGGCCAGGTCTTCCTCCAGAGCACAGGCTGACATAATGTCCAAGTAGAAAGCCTCGTCATATGCTTTCCCAAATAATATATTGTCCTTTATTGGAGCATTTCGAATCCAAGCTTCCTGAGAGACGTATGCCACCTCGCCCTGAGAGAAAAGAGTTCATTATTCTATTTATTTGTTTCTACCGCATATAGCCAATGAATTATTTGCATTTGAAATCCAGACTTTGAACAGGAAATGAAATGAGAAAGAACATTCAGGAAAATGACAACAATAAGATTTTCATAATTTCTTCTAAGTTTCTTTGTATATGGAATATAAAAATACGTGAGGGGTTTTCGAAGGAAGGAAAATATAAGAAAGACATAATATGATGAATGCTTTCCCTTCAATCTTTCTTTTCATATTTAAAATAGTCACTCTTTCCCTTCATACCTTTTTATTAGCACGCATTTATTTAATTGCGAAAGCGTAACATGCAGTACATTTTTTAGGAAGGAACAAAATATCATGTATTTAAAAAAAAATTGGAAAGTGTTTCTTGGCCTTGCATGAGTACAATTTTTATATCGGGGACCGTACAAGGCATTGCTATTTAGCAAAGCATCTCGTTGATCCAAGATATTGTAAGGGAAGGGAGGCTTCAAGAGAAATCTCAACTATGTAAGACACCCCTAAGTCCTTCCTAAAGACGAATACCGTCCATATCTAAGTCTGTTCTCTTTGGTCTAGGTACCTGGTGATGCCAACATACGGTTGTCTCGAACTAGCTAACGTAACGGTCTTCGAAATGCTGCTTCAGATTTCAATTGATAGTTCACGGTGTCCCTACCTCACCTTGCTAGGAATAATGTCTGCTGATCGTGGCGTTCCATGCACGTTGTCTAGTTTGGGACGTGGAGTGGATTGACTGCGAATTGCTTTCGTCCCATTAAGAGATAAGGAGACGCATAGGTGGAAAAGTTGCCGTGCAGACGATGCATCAATAATTGCACTAACCTCAATCTGCCACAACTGGCTAAAATAGAGAACATCGTGAGGCTGCAACTACACGTACATCAACATTGACGAGGCCTGAAACTTTCTCCATGTCGCCAAGGAAGGCCGAAAGCAGGGAGGATTTCCCGGAGCCTACTTGGCCGACCACCGCGACTAATTTCCCAGATGGAATTTGCAAGTCGACGT